CTAATTCATACTTTCTGAAACAGGACAGGAATTGAAACACAGCCATCCTTTAAATTCAGGTCTCTGAATTTTGCAATGCAGTTCTCTAGTCAAGGCACGTCATTAGGGTAAAATGTACATAGAAGTGCAAATATTAGTGAAATGAACAAACAAAACGCATATATTAGGGGTCATTGGTTTGAGGGGGAAAGTATATTAGCAAAATTGCATGCAAATGTGTATATTAGGAGAAATTAACACCAAAATGCTGATGGATTTTCATGAGGACTTTTAAAAAAACTGATGAGGAAATGAGAAGAACTGGATTTAAGATTGGAAAAATGAGAAACCAAGAGAAACTGCAATTGACAGATTTTTCCCATCCCTACCGATGGTGAAAGTGGATCTTATAGTCTAGAGCTGGTGAACACGAAGATAGACTAAGGCTCTATTATCTTGTGGGCAGCCATGTGCTTTTAGGAAAGCCACAAGCATGACAGGGCATCAACAGCCCTCTGCCACGTCAATCACTATCAACCATCCCTAACTTGCCTGAATTTTGTCTATGTCACTTTTAAGGTCATCTAAGCTTGTGGCCAACACATTTTATGGCTATGAATTAATTGGACATTGTGTGAAGAAGTGATTTCTTTGATATGTGCAGAAGATGCTGTTAATTATTTTCATTTCAATAATACACCTAGTATTATGGGAGAAAAGGAACAAATTATCTCTATCCACTCTCTCAACACCATGTATGTGGATGTTCCTCCTTTATGACAGCAGACTAGTTTAGATGGCTCTACCATCCTCATCAGTTTTCACGATTCTGTGCTTTTACAAGTTTTCTCATTTTAGAATTGAGCCCTCTGTCTTTTGTTGTCAGACTGTGCAGAAGTTGAGACATTTGTAGGTGCAGGTACAATTTCAGTCATCCTCCTTAAGACCACTTCCCACTTTGCATATACTAACCTACCAACAGCATCAGGGGAAGTGATCTTTTCAGGGGGGAATTAACCCCTGTTACGTGACAAAGCTAATTGGCAATAGAAACTCTAGACTCCTGCCAACTTCATCTGCTGAAACCAGATCACTGGGTTGTCCACAACAATATAGGTTTTGGATTTTGAACGAGGAACAAACATAGAGTGCATACATGTTTTTGAACCTTCTCCTAACGGGGCTCCTATGCTTATAACAGTTGCATGACAGATACATATTTTACTGGTGAAACTTTTTCTTATTTGAACCCCAACAATAACATTTGTTTGACCCAGGAATAATGAGGTGATTTCTACACTGTTAACCCAGCAGCAAATGCAAGAGCAAATTTGGAAGGTTATGGCTCAAGTCAGCTATTCTTATCACTGATTTTCCAGTTTCCATTCTAAATTGTCTTTGGACCTGCACAGGGAATCCAGGATTTTGTTTTAAACCTTGGATTGCAAATTTAAAAGCAAGATCAGAAACTGAAGACAGAAATATATATTTATGATAACGTCATCAATTGTTGTTAGCTGATGGAGAATCTTTGCTGGAAAATATGGACAACACATTGTGTTACATTGTCAATAATGTGTTACAATGCATTGTCCCCCTGAGGGTGCATTGTCATTGACTATATGCTGGTCCATTGCGACATTGTAAATCTGATAATGGACTTTAGAATTGAAACATGCACCGAAAGTGATAACCAACCATTGGTGATGTCTGTAAATTTAAACTTTGATTTAGAAATAACTAATCGTAACAACGGGACGCGGGTGGCGCTGTGGGTAAAACCTCAGCGCCTAGGACTTGCCGATCGTATGGTCGGCGGTTCGAATCCCCGCGGCGGGGTGCGCTCCCATCGTTCGGTCCCAGCGCCTGCCAACCTAGCAGTTCGAAAGCACCCCCGGGTGCAAGTAGATAAATAGGGACCGCTTACCAGCGGGAAGGTAATGGCGTTCCGTGTGCTGCGCTGGCTCGCCAGATGCAGCTTGTCACGCTGGCCACGTGACCCGGAAGTGTCTGCGGACAGCGCTGGCTCCCGGCCTCTAGAGTGAGATGAGCGCACAACCCTAGAGTCTGGCAAGACTGGCCCGTATGGGCAGGGGTACCTTTACCTTAATCGTAACAACACAAATTATTGAGCAAATGATCCAATTAAAATGGTCCCAGGAAATGAGTGTAGCAGTGGGGCAAAAACTTACAGTTGATTTTACAAACCAGGTAATCTTTAATCTTTGTTGTTGTTGTGTCATTTAGTCGTGTCCGACTCTTCGTGACCCCATGGACCAGAGCACGCCAGGCACCTCTGTCCTCCACTGCCTCCCGCAGTTTGGTCAAACTCATGCTGGTAACCTCGAAAACACTATCCAACCATCTCATCCTCTGTCGCCCCCTTCTCCTTGTGCCCTCCATCTTTCCCAACATCAGGTCTTCTCCAGGGAGTCTTCTCTTCTCATGAGGTGGCCAAAGTATTGGAGCCTCACCTTCACGATCTGTCCTTCCATAGCTTTAACTATACAAACCTTTGTTGGCAAGGTGACGTCTCTACTTCTCATTCTTTAATCTAAAGAACATTAATTCTTGTAGTGACATTCTGGAAGTATACAGTCATACCTCGGGTTAAAGTCGCTTCAGGTTGAACGTTTTCAGGTTGCGTCCTGCGGCGACCCAGAAGTAACAGAAAGGGTTACTTCCAGGTTTCACCGCTCGCGCATGCGCAGACACTCAGAATGACATCACACGCATGCGCAGACGCGGGTTGCGTTCTGCTCATGATGCGAACGGGGCTCCGGAACGGATCCCATTCGCATCCAGAGGTACCACTGTATAGTGAAATCTTCAAAACACTTGAAGAGCTTAACACTCCACCAAAAGTCAGGTCACTTAAAAACAGAACTAGTCCCTGGTTCAATGATGAATGTCTTCAACTTAAAAGAAAATTGCACCAAATTTTCAAAAATAACCGTACCAAACTAGAACCTTTCTACTTCAATGAAACAAGGAAACATCACCTTGTTCTGGCCGAAAAGAAATAAAAATATGCCACCCCAAAATGGTCCCAATTACCTGACTCAATCCAAACAAAAATAACAAATCATTGTGGTTGATAGTATATGGAGGTCTGGAAGCTGGCAACCAATCAGCTGTCCCATTGCGGATGTTTTTTGAATGTGCCAGACACAGTAGAACCTATAATTTTCTACTGTCCATTCCACAACCAGCTACGCTGATGCATGCTATCCCATTTTCTGGGTAGTCTAACATCACAGCACAATGAAAATATCAGATTCTATCTGTCTGACATTATCCCAGAAGTAACTGCAAGGGGGGCTGAGTTTTTATCAATAGTATTTCTTAGAGTGGTGAATGGCAGTATTTAGCGGGAAGAAACTCCAATGAAAATCCTTGTTATTACATATTTTTACATGGCTGTTTATTTGTATATATTTTTAAATTTTATATATAGATGTTCTATGATGGCCTATATTTGTAATGCCTAATAAAGGTTTGGCGAAGTACGTACAATGCATTGTAACAATTGTCACAAAGTTCTTCCTAAGGTTTAATTGGAATCTCCTTTCTTGTAATTTGAATCCACTGGTTTGGGTCCTACCCTCTGGAGGAGAAAACAAGCTTGCTCCATCTTTCATGTGACAGCCCTTTAGATATTTGAAGATGGCTATCATATATCCTCTCAGCCTCTTCTTTTCCCAGTTCCTTCAACTGTTCAACATAAAGTTTTGTTTCCAGACCCTTTATCATTTTGTCAATATCCTTCTCAAAATGAGATGCCCCAAACCAGACACAGTAGTTCAGGAGTGGTCTGACCAAGGCAGAATAGAATCATATTATTACTATTACTTCCTTTGATCTGAACTCTATACTTCCATTTAACAGAATGTCTGTTTTGTCCGGCTCCTAAGCAGGTGAATCTTAAATTCTGAAGGGGTCTATTTCACTCAGTATTGTCTACATACACTTACTGGCAGTGAGTCTCCAGAGTTTCAGATGGGAATCTTCCACAGCTCTACTCAGAGATGGTACTTGGGACCTTTTGCAGGCAAAGTGTTTGCTCTACCACTGAGCCAATGATCCTCGGTCCAATATTTTATGTTTTTCTTCACGAGGAATGCAGTGAATCAAGGGAAAGTGACCAGCTGTTTATATTAATAGGTGCACTTCACCTCATTACTTTACTGGACTGGACAAGGCTACGCACAAGCTGAATCCTACATAAGTAGCTCACATAAAAGGAGTATTATGTAGCATATCTATAAATATCCATTTTATTTTTAATTCATAACTCTGCCAGCTACTGGCTGCTGGCCCAGGAATGACGAACTCAATACCAGGCTCCCTCGCAACAATGTGAAGTGTGCCAACCACTGCTTCTTTGTAAATAAATACAATATGCAAACCAGCCTTGCATGCATCTATGTATGTGTATGTGTGTGTACAGACACACACACACACACACAGAGAGAGAGAGAGAGAGAGAGAGAGAGAGAGAGAGAGACTTAGAATCATAAAACTATAGAGCTGGAAGGATTTGAGGGTCATTTAGTCCAACTCTTTGCAAGGCAAGGAGTAGATCATACAGGACAGATGACCATCCAACCTCTACTTAAAATCTTATGAGAAAGGAGAGTCCACCACCTCTCATAGGAGTCTTTTCCAATGTTGAACAGCTCTTGCAGTCAGAACCAAAGACGCTGGTCAGTTTGCTTGCCTGAAAGCCTGCCCGTCTGAAAACCTATCCTTATGTGTCACACATACACATCAGCAAGCAAGTTGGTCTCTCCTACCCAACACACAAGCTTTATAAAGGATATGGGCACACTTCAGGCAAGGAACTTTGCAAGTTGAAACTGTCAGGTGCAGTTACTATACCACATTAAATTCTTGCACATTTAAAGCATCTTCTAAGGACAACTTTGCCTGTTTGGGGTTTATTTTTTATCGCCATATAATACTCCTTATGTTCATCTATTTATAAAAGTATTTATATACCACAGTATCAAAAATGATCAGGGCAGTTCACAACAACATTATATATACAATAAAACGTACTTAAAACAGTACAAAATATTCATTTAAAAAGGTTCCAAGATGTGTAAGGCTTCACTGACAGGGAAACATGGCTTTGCAGACAATTGATGGTGCCCTCCAGATGATGTTGGACTACAAATCCTAACATCCCTGCCCTTGGCCATGCTGGCAGGGGGTGACGGGAGTTGTAGTCCATCAACATCTGGAGGGCATCCCATTAGCTACCCAGATTTATTCCAAAAGAGTTGTCTGTAACTCCACATCACACACACACACATACAGTTCTCACAGTGCCCTATTATAAGACGTTTCATTTTATTGCTGTGGATTCCCATTTCAGATACAATCATGAGCTGCAGCATCTCCAAATTATAACCTCACATGATGGCAGTATAGTGCGCCATAAATGCCAATATCTTGATTTAATGTGGTGATCCGGGGAGCATGATATTGCAAGCACCATAACGTAGCACAGCTCATGTATAAAACACCTTTACGATGGGATTTTATTAGCGTTGACATTAGAATTAGAAGCGAGAAACTGACGACGGGAAAAGAGCCTGCGAAAACTTAAGATTGCAAATGGGTTGAGAAAAAGGCAGCAGCCCCAAACCATGAAGTTTAAGGAGAAGAGCTGGAGCTCAGTGGTACAGCATCTGCTTTTCTGGCAGAAGGCCCCAGGTTGAATGCCCAGCATGTCCGGGTCCGGCTGAGAAAGCCTCCTGCCTAAAAACCCTGGAAAGCTGCTGAAAGCCAGTGTGGACAATAGTGAGCAGGCTGGACCAACAGTCCAATTTAGTTTAAGGTAAGTTTTCTATGTTGCAAAGTATGAATATGTTCTAAGTGTGAAGAACTCAGAGCTAGATTATAAGAAATCAACAAAACACAAGAGCTTTCTTTGCAAAAGATTATAGGCTTTTTAATATTATCCTGTTTATAAATATATAGACCAAGCAGGTAGCAACCAAGGACAATAAGTAAGCAAGGTGAAGCAGTCTAGCACTCAAAGGCTGTTTATAAGTCAAAACTGTTTCTTGCAGGCTGATGAAATTACAGTGGAACCCTAACCACGGGTGGTATTCAACTAAGTTTTAGTCAGAGCAGCCCTTTTGAAATTAATTGCAAAGTTAGGTCCGTTAATTCCAGTGGGTCTACTCTGAGTGAAATGTGCTGTGTTAATATATGTCCATTCATCCTTTTCTTTTCTATTTAACTTTTTTATCTTGTGGATAAACTAAGCATTATTAAAAAGTGTGTGACTTCAGAGCCCATCAAATACTTTTTTGCTGGTCATCCACCGCCCCCAATCCAGTATCATCAGAGTTAAGTTCTTTTCCCACCAAACACAGGAGCATTAATGCACTCAGCTGTTTGTTTGCACCTCCTGCTGGGGTTGCACACATGATGTTTCAGGGTCGTGTTTTGACAGGTGTGCTGAGCAAATAGGATGGTTCTTTATGCCTCTGACCATCTGACTTGATATTTTTTGAAAGCAATTTGCAGATAATCAGGCATTTCTCTAAGAGCTTTTATTTCCAAAAGGAAATGGAGTGAGATCTGAAGCTCCTAACATATCAGTTAAAACCAGGCCATGTGTATACTCCAGCAAAGAAATGCACTGTGTTGTACTGGCTGTAAGATTCAGCTTCCCTAGTCTCTGCTTCCTTGCTTTCTTTTTCAAAGCAGCCTCCAAAAGTCTCAGGGAAAAGCTCTTCCCAGCCTTGCTCCCAAGAGATCCTTTTAATATGAGATACCAGGGACTGAACCTGGGACCTTCCACATGCAAATCATGCACGCACCCACTGAGCTATCATTCCACTCCGCAGAAAAACTCGAGAAGCAATTATACTCCACCAAGGCTATCAATGGCTTCTAGTCAGGATGGCCATATGCTACCCTCAAGGTTCAAAGTAGCATGTCTCTAAATACCTACTGTTGGGGAGAATGAGTAGGATAGAGTTATTGTCTTGGCATCCTATTTGTGGGTTTCCTACAGACATCTGGTTGGCCACTGCAGGATAGAGGATGACGGGATAAATAGCTTGATCTAGCAGGGCTCTTTAAAAAATGTTAAGTCTCAACAAAATAATTAAATTGCACTGAACAGTTGCCAACATCGCAGCCATTTTTACTGCAAATGTTTTGGATTTAAATAGTTTTCTTTATTTAGGCACCCAGTAGACATGAGACAACACACTCCTTTGGCCATCCGTATGTTGCCCAGTCCTCAGCTCTATCTATGGTTCTGAAGTTCTCATTTTTCGTCTTATCTCTTCTGCGTGTGCTTGGCTCCTGGCTCTGTTTTCTTGATACTGGCAGGAAAAACAAGGCGATAAATGAATAATAGATAAGTCATGTCACTACATTAAAAATGCAGCATGGGTTTATCACTCGAAAAGGAAATACATGCTATTTTTGAAGAACACAAATTACACTTGCATTGGTTGGGGCGGGGACCACCACCAAAGCAGCCCACTAAGGTTATTATTTAATTTGCATCTTTAGCTACTCCATTTGTTTTAGGTTGAACAGAGTTTTCAAAAGTGAACAGCAACAACGCAGCTCTTTCCACAGTTCCATATGCTTTCTGAGACTTCAAGGGAACACTCTGTGTACATTTTTAAACCATGAGGGCTAACAAACCTTGCCAAAGGATCTGAACAACGATTGCCCAGTATCCATTTTTGGAGCAAGGTGTGTGAGCAGGTTGTGGCAATGCAGGTTCTGTGGGATGGGTGTGGGTGGGTTAAACAAATTGTCTAGATCCTCTCCAGCCTGGATTTCACTGAGTGTGGTCCCCCAGGTGGATGATTTCTGATGGGAGACAGCTTAGGGGAATATCGGTTCAAATGCTTTTGTAAAATTCCAGCAGGACCCCTAGACTCAAGAGCAGGGGTTCCCAAACTTTTTCAGGCCATGCTTGGTTTCATAAACTCATCCCCAATGCCCCCTACCCGGCCCTACAAAAAGCATTATTCAGAAGAGCTGTTTGCATGATCTACTAAATATAACAACACCATAAAATTCAAAACAGTAATAACTAATTGCACATTTATTCAAAACCAAATTAAAACTATTTAGTTCAATTAATTCAACGAAACTTGATCCAGTGATACCAACATTTCAAAGTCTGTTAGTCATTTACACCTCCATCCCCTTGCCTCTTAGTACCCCCATAGATAATCCCACTGCCCTTCCTGGGATTGGTACAGCCCACCTTGGGAACCACTTGTCAATAGGAAGGCACAAAACTGAAAGGGGTGTTTGGGAATATTTCAGTGGTCTGGCCTCATTGTCTGTGGCTTACCTCTTTCTTTAAGCATCGCCTCATTTCTTTGTCAAAATCATTGCAACGACCAAAATATCTCATGATGGAGTGCTGAGAAACAGGACCACAGTAATAATAAATTATACAAATAAATACACCAAGTCTTCTCATGTCATTTGTATATCACAAAAAAACAGCATAATAGTTTTGAAGTAGTATCTACAAGATATGATTCATTATTAGCAGTCAGTGTACAAGTTATTGGTTTGTGAATTGGTTTAAACAAAGGCAAAAGTGAAGGGGAAAGAGGATAGAACAGGGTTAACAGATAACATTTAATATTGCACACCTAAACAGGAGCCCTTGTGGTTGTGCTTAGATTATAGTCATTTCCCCCCCTTATGTTGCCAATGAAATAATACAAAGTGTTGATGGACGTGGGAAGGGGGTTCAAAGTGAAGATGATAATTTATGTTGAAATTTATGGTAATCCATAATCAGTCATGCAGGATTGCCTTTCCAACTCCCCCTCCCCCCAAAAAATCTGTAAAATGGAGGTTGTGGCACTTCTGACATGGGTCAAACCAAGACAAAGGCATTTGTTTCATGACTGTGTATGTTAATTAGTTGACCAAGGCTACGACGTCAGTGTTTTGTTTTTTATTCATTGCATACATACCTTTCTGCCAAAGTAGTTAACAATTTAAAATATGAAAACAAACCCACAGTACAAAATATTCTCCAGCCGACTTCAGGACCTTCACTCCCTAGCCCAGGCTTACTCACTTCTTGCTTCCCTCAGAGCACCCAGGTCTTAATTTGCTGAAATAAAGGTGGGGCGTAAGAGGGTGGGGCTGCCACCCCACTCCTATCAGGTCATTGCTGGTTCCTTCAGGAGCTGGTGGTTAATCCTGGGCCTGGCTTCCTAACTTCCTGTTGTCATCACCAACAGCTGTATGACACCATGCTTGTGTTTTTATACTTGTAAACCGCTTAGAAGCCTATTTTGGTATTAAGTGGGATATAAGAGAATACTAACAGTAACAGCTACTTATTTTCTTTTCACCTCGTGATTGACACTCCCCCTGCCAATCATTGGGAAGGGAAAGGACGGGAAGTGGGGGGTGGGGGTGGAGTGTAGGCATTGTTCCTGGACACGCATCCCAAGAGAGGCCTCGAGTAGTTGAGCCAGCAGTTGATAAATTTTCCCCAACCCAAATCTAAAGACTCTCATCCATAGTTGCTGCATCCATAGAATACATAGGAAGCTGTCTGGTTCACATGTCAAACCACAGTATAGTGTGGAAGCGCAACATGCAGGCTCAAAGAGAGCATATTGCAGTCACTTTGCTCTTTGTTGGTCATTTGGCTGATGCACTAAGCTTAATGGGGTCGTGGTTTAGCTCTCTCAGACAAACCATGTATTGTAAACATAGGACAAACCTTGGTTATGCTGCATAAACTATTAAATTTAGTTACCTCATGTCACAGAGCCAGAACAATGCTTCCTGCCCCCCTCTAAACAGGCTAATGTCATTTTTACGTGTGCACACACACATATTCACTGGATTGTTTGTTTGTTTGTTTGTTTGTTTGTTTGTACCACTTCCCCCTCCAATTTGGCTCAGTCCTAACCACAACCAGTTCAGTGCTTACTACAGCAGTAAGTCACAAAAGCCTTTAGGAGCCTAGGCACCAGTTTAGTACAGGACTATATAACTGTTTCAAAATTATTAGCAGCTGCATTGTATTTGTATGCTGGTTTCCACCCCACTTCCTATACTTGCCTTGTATTAATCTCAATAAAAGCATGTTTCCAAAGTTCTAACGTGAAACAATCAATGGACCATATAAGTTAACTAAGAAACAGGGGGAAGTTCTTTTGTAAGTAGTATTTAGAAAATAAAGAAATTTATTTTTGGAACCTGGACCACAAATGCAGATATTCTACTTCCTTCTGCAGGAAACTATTTTCAGCTAATTAACTCTTTATTGTTGCTTCTACATGCAGCGCTAGTGAACAGTTAGCAATTTTTAACGTGTCAGATGCATCATCTGCATCTTTATACCGAGAGTAAAAGATCCTTCCTTCCTTCCTTGGCTGTGCTTCCATTTCTCTTCTTCCAGCAATCAAATATAGGTTTCAAGTAGATCATAAACCACATCTTGTTAACCTATAATTATATGTAACATTTCACCTAGCCTTTCTAAAACATGAAAGGATTAGAGCTGTTCATGAATATTAATTCCGAAAAAAGGCTCCCTTGCAGCCATGACCAGGCAGGAAGGTTACCGCAGATGAATTCTACCGAGCAACAAAAGGCAGCTCTTAATTACCCACCATGGTGTAATTAGGTGGTAGCAGCAGCAGCAAAGTTCTCATTGCTTGAAGAGAACAACTGCAGCCAAGGAGTCGGATGGGCGATACAAGGCCCATGGCTATAGGACACCCTTGCAATCTGACTTCTCCATCTTATTTGAGAGTCGTAAGCACCTAGCAACTCCCTCCCACCCAAAACCTAACCCAGCAACTGCCTTACAGGCAAAATCTCTCAGCATTAATTTTGAAAAGGCTTGTGTGGCAAGCCCAGCACTTTGATTGCTCTTAATGCACCAGCTGATAAGCCCGTCTGTACGTACCTGCAGTAATATGGATGCTTCTGGATGTTACATTATATTGAGAAAGAAAAGGGTAAACAAAATTGTCTCTTGTGAAAATGGACAAACCTGCACAGCTGCTGAATCAGTTTAACCTGCTGAACTTTCTAAAGGCGCCATCAGCAACACTGTGTGTGCCGCTGAGCCAAGGAGAGAGAGACAGAGAAAGAAAGAAGAGTGAGTGAGAGCTGCTCTTTAGGATGTATTTAGCTATTTCATGGTCATACTGCCCAAAGGCCGTCTCCTCTATCTGTAGAGTTCTGGGATAAGCCCTTTCTATCAGGATACATTTCAGTGTGCTTTGGGTTTAGGCAGAAGTCCTACCTCTTTGTGGCATTCCTTGAGCAGACGGATAATAAGGTTGCATTCTTCGCTGTGCAGATGAGGAGACAGATCTGGGTGCATCGCAAATTAAGGAGAGCTCATGAGCAAAATCTGAAGTCTTCCACCTGTCAATATTGTAATACATTTTTATATCCAAGAGAATGCCAGATAGGGCATCTTGCCCTGTGTATATTTCTTAGTGAAAAGATCAGAACCAAAGCATAATTATACAGTAAAGTACTATTTGCATTTGGCTCTTAATCTTTTGTAAAATCAGAGAATCTGTAGTGAGCGATTAATTAATCAGTTTAATAACAATAATATTTTTAATTTATTAACTGCTTCCTACAAGACAGTTAGGGAAGCAGGTGGTGCTGTGGTCTAAACCACTGAGCCTAGGGCTTGCTGATTGGAAGGTCGGCAGTTCAAATCCCTGCGACGGGGTGAGCTCGCGTTGCTCAGTCCCTGCTCCTGCCAACCTAGCAGTTCGAAAGCACGTCAAGTGCAAGTAGATAAATAGGTACTGCTCTGGCAGGAAGGTAAACCGCGTTTCTGTGCGCTGCTCTGGTTTCGCCAGAAGCGGCTTAGTCATGCTGGCCACATGACCTGGAAAAACTGCCTGCGGACAAACGTTGGCTCCCTCGGCCAGTAAAACGAGATGAGCGTTGCAACCCCAGAGTCGTTCGCGACTGGACTTAACGGTCAGGGGTCCTTTACCTTTACAAGACAGTTTCTTTAAGCAACTTACATTATATAAAATACACAACTGCCTGCGCATAATTTAAACCCAAATACATAGAATAAAACATAATAGAACAGAGATGTATTGAGGAGTTCAGCCAACAACAAAAGTAAAACCTGACCCTACTTCTAGATGTACAATACGGATAGGCAATGAATCATACCACAGTACAATGACGATGACAACAACAACACAACAACAACCAGAACAACATAATTTAGTTCATGTTCTACAATGGGTTGGTGATTTTAGTTCAGCTCATCAACTGAGAGCAATTCCTCTTTTTCCTTTTTGCCCAATTAAAGGTTCTACATAGTGGAAAAACCTTACATACTCGCTTACCAACAGATAAAATGGGCCAGGAGGCAACAAATTAGGAAACTGGTTCTGTGAGCTCAAAGAGCAGCAGATTGGTTTTGAAACCATGGGGAGTTTCATATAGTTTATGATGCATCCCAGACACGTAGGGAATGGGGAGAGCATCAGCTGCCCAAGTAAATCAGTCCCATTGGGCTAGTTTAAGCCCCTTGTATGAACCCACAGCTGCAATCCTAATAGGCACATTTGAGCTTAAGTCCCACTGAACTGAGGGTAACTCATTCCTGAATGCTTGTGCAAAGGTCTGCGCTGCAGGACTGGCTCTTTGGATTCTAGCCATAAATCACTGCAAATTTAGTTTTAAATAGAACAGGATTCTCTGAGCCCCACATACATAATGATGAAGAGAATCAGTAGGCAATGACTCCTTTTGAAGAAAGACTTTTTTTAAAAAATGGCAGAGAACACAGTTGCCTTATAAAGCACTATTTGTTCAAAATATGTTGAAATTCATACGTCGGGTATCAATACATTTATCCCCAGTATCTGTTGGGCTTCTCTGTGTGTCCCTTGCCTGCCCCAATGCAGCTTCTGTGGGGTGACCTTTTGCTACTAGATTCTGCTCTGCCACACCTCAGCTTCCATTAATCAATTTTTCAAAGCTGAAGCTCTATTTCCACCTCATCTCTGTTAACTATACAAGAATAGAGCAGCAGTAAATGTCTCAGCTTCTGGCTGCCTGGGTATGTGCACCACTAACCGTGCTTTCAACACGTATCTCTAGGCATCAAGGTGCGCAACTGCTTCAAAAAGTAATCAAGAAGTAAATCTTCCTGCAAGGCTTTCAAGGTTGACCTCAAGGGTCTAGCCATAAGCCCAGAGTATCAGAAATACCAAGCCTGAACAACCAACTTTAATAAACCTGATCTATCGGGTGTTTTTGTGATTGTATAGTATATAGAGAAGGGAGCACGACCTCGGGATAATTTTCCTGTAGCCCATCTTGAAAGCTATTCAGCTTTGGCAAGTTAGAGGCAACCTACAAAATGAGATAAGGAAGGGCTGTTACACCCCTCTGAGCTTTTAGGGTGAGTGAGAAATAGAAGCTAGCTGGCCAAGAAGACATATACCAAAGTGGTAAATGGAACTGATAAGAATGTAAAAACCTGAGAAGGTAAGAACAAAGGCCTGTTTAGGTTTCACATCTTGCTTCTCACCCATGCCAGCGAGAAGGCCAAAAGCAAGGCACAAGCACAATGTGTGGGCCTCCGCTTTGGACAAAGCCCCTTTTGGAGAGATTTTGAACAGACGTGAAGAACGGCTTCTATAAAGTAGCCCAAAGATAATTCGGTAGCTCCCGAAACTTCAGAACAAATTCAGAAGGTACAAGAATATAAGAACACTGAAGGATCAGGTCAGTGGCCTATCTAGTCCAGCATCCTCTTCTCACAGCGACCAACCAGAGGCCTATGAGAAGCCCCCAAGCAGGACTTGAGCACAAGAGCCCTCTCCCCTCCTGCAGTTTCCAGCACCGGGTATTCAGAAGCATGCTGTTTCTGAGCAGGGGCAGAGCACAGCCATCAGGGTGAGTAGTCTTTGGAGCGGTTAAGAGCCGAAGAGTGTCTTATGTTTGAGGATGGGAAAGGGAAAAATACAGATAAACTGGAAATATAGATAATATAGATAAAATTATATAGATAATATAGATAAAAATATTGTCGGGCAGATTGATTTATTGCTCAGATAAGCGTTCGGCACGCTTCCCATCGTGCAGCTCTGGCCGGCATTCCTGAGCAAAGCAGAGATCAACAGCGGCAAGAGAAAGACTGAAAAAACTCCAGAGCATTCTTCAGTGTGCTTAAATAAAGTCCACTCAGGATCTTAGCAGCTAAAAGCAGTTTTATTTACAGCAGACTATCCATTATCTATCACAGCGAACAGCATCGTGAAAACACATCCTCTCTCCTCAAAAGCGAAAGTAGAGAGAAAGAACAAAGACTTGAGGCTCTCGGAAATGACGAACCTCCCCCCTCCCTGTAGGCAGGGCGTACACTCTGAGCTGTTTAACCCTGTAAGCTCAGGTTCTCCTCACAAATATAGATAAAACTATCACAGATAGAGTATCTATCACAAAGCATTGGTTTGTACTCATTTCTCTCTGGGGAGGGAGGGGGAAGAACCAAAGAGAACAAGAAAGAAAATAAGAGCCTGGCTAGGTCAGAACGTAAAAAGAAACCTCCTGGATCAGACCAAAAGGCCTGATCTAGCCCAGTTTCCTGTGTCCCGCGGTGACCAATCAGAAGCAATAGCACTCTTCCTTTATGAAGCCCAAGAACTGCTATTCAGACAAATGCTTGACTGAATAGCGTGACTATGACTATAGCCATTTTTTTATATTATTATTTAAAAGGAGATTTTAAACAACGCCTTCAAGCTTAATACAGTTTAAGAACTGGTATTAGTAACGTAGTTCCAATGCCTGCAATTTATCAAATACAACCATCAAACTTGTTAAATTTACACGCAGAAAATAAAATGCACTGGACTTGGATGCATAGAATAAAGAAGATAAACATTTGTAGTGGACAATGCAACATAACATAAGGGACTTCCAGGTCAAAACATATAAAGCTACAACAACTAGATTTTGGCTCTGTTCCAATAGCTAGCAAACTTTTTTTTTAAGAAAGAAAAACTTCAGTTCATTTTCTTCTTTGGCATGGAAAAATGGCTGAAGCACTTTTTACATTGACAAAACAATATATAAGGTTTGCACATGATACATAAATACAAACTCCTGCTCACCTGTGAAGCTTATAGCATAGCCCTGGGCAAATCACTATCTCCCAGGACAACTTACTTCATAGCATTGTTGTGAGGATATGTAAGTAATTTAAACATTGGAGAGCTGCTGCCAGTCAGTGTAGGGCAGAGCTTTCCTAACTGTTTGTTGTGACACACTAGTTTGTCGGCTGCAGTGTGTAGGTGTGTTGCAGGAACACTCCCCATGCTTCTCCCAGGGCTAGAAAGGGGTTAGTTTAGCCTCCATTTTGCTAGTAAAATTGAATTACTGTGTTGCAAAATGATGCATGTCTAAAAAGTGTGTCACCAACATGAAAAGTTCGGAAAGGTCTGGTGTAGGGAATACTGGGCTAAATGGATCAAATGTCTGCCTCCGTATAAGGCAGCTATTTCTAACCTTTGAAAGCCTGGAACAATATAAAAATTAGTACTTACCTGGGAAATCTGACTTGTGCGCCTGCTGTTATCCGTCAATTCACAACTATGGGGGGGAAACATGAATGGCATTTTTAAAAAATCAAAATTCTGTCTGCTGAACTTTGTTTTTAAAAGTTACTGCAGTTTGTGTTCCTAATGTGATTGTGTATACCGGTATATGCTTACTATTGCAAGAAGTCAGAATTCAATTAAAAACCTACAAAATCAGAATGTTTACAGAAAACCTGGACCTTGATAAAAACAGGTCCCATTATATAGAACTTGGACTTTGGTAAAACTATGTGAGTTTAAAATCGGATGGATATTTTCAAGAAACGCACAAGGCTAGAAGCCAGTAAAGGAAGGAAAGAAGGAATGTTTGTTTGTTTGTGTATACATGCATGCATGCGTGTATGTATGTGTGTGAAAACTATTTGGTACTCCAACAACTGCATAATTTTTTATATATAATAGTTTTTGCAACACAATATTGGATACATAGAACATCAAGTTAACATTCCAGCATAGGTTTCTACATTCCCTGGATGTCATCTTTCTGAAACTATTATTTCTTGGAAAGATGCAATGGCGATTGGTGAAATTTTTATTGCTATTATTTATTAAATTTGTATACTGCACTTCACCTGAAGATCACAGGGCAGTGAAAAGCAAGAAAAGTTTACTGTACTGTGTTATACTGCACTCACTGACAGGATAAAGGTGCAAAAGGCACACAGAGATGCAGTTATTGACCATAACATTGTTAATTTGTTATAATATAAAGAGAGGCCATAGCTCACTGGTAGAGCACAAGCATTGCATGCAAAAGATCCCACACAACTTCGATAGCTGTCCCTGGCCAAGGTCCTAGTAGATAGTGTCAGGTGGCACTGTGGTCTAAACCACTGAGCCTAGGGCTTGCCAATCGAAAGGTTGGCGGTTCGAATCCCCGCGACAGGGTGAGCTCCTGTTGCTTGGTCCCAGCTCCTGCCAAACTAGCAGTTCGAAAGCACGTCAAAGTGCAAGTAGATAAATAGGTACTGCTCTGGCAGGAAGGTAAATGGCATTTCCATGCACTGCTCTGGTTTCGCCAGAAGCGGCTTAGTCATGCTGGCCACATGACCCAGAAAAACTGTATTCGGACAAACGTTGGCTTCCTTGGCCAGTAAAGCATGATGAGCGCTGCAACCGCAGAGTCGTTTGCGACTGGACTTAACTGTCAGGGGCCCTTTACCTTTACCTTTTTAAGACTCGGGAGACCCAGTTTCAAATCCTCTCTTGGCCATAGAGCTAATTGGGTGACCCTGGGCCAGTCTCTCTCGCAGCCAAACATACTTCTCAGGATTGTTGTGAGGATAAAATTAAACTGGAGACTCTGCGTATTGTCCTGAGCTGCTCAAGAGAAAGGCAAAATAAAACAGTAATGAAATAAATTCGGAAAAGGGCCATAGCTCAGTGGTAGCATGTCTGCTTTGGATGAAAAAGGTCTCAGGTTCAACCCCTGGCATCTTCAGGTAGGGCTGGGAGAAACTCCACATGGAACCCTAGACAGCCACTGCCAGTCAGTGTAGACAATACAGGTCTAGACGAATGAACAAGTTGATATGATATGAGGCAGCTTTCTTTCAGAGACCCATGAGATCAACTGCTGGCCAGAACAGACAATACTGAGCTAGAAGATATTTAGCCTTTGACAAGTGAAGGGTTGTAGTTCAGTGGTAGGGCATCTGCTTTGCACGTAGACGTTTGCAGGTTCGGTCCCTGGCATCTCCTGGTAAAACTGGGAATGTGTCGTGTTTGAAACCCTCAAGAGCCACTGCCCGTTACTCTGAGCCACATGGACCAGGCAGCTTCCTGTGGTGTATCAGAGCAAGTATTATTCGCATTGCATCTACACGTGTGCAGTGGCTGCATCACCCTGCCCTCATCATACAAAGCAGGGGGGGGGCAACAACTGCATATACACATATACACACACACACACAGCTTCATCCCCAGATGTCTGTTTGCACTCTGCTACTGAGCTATTATGACAGTGCCTTGCTCTAACCATTCTCTCTTTCCACAGTCAAATCATTCTGCACCACTGAGTTCGCAGAAGAAAAATGAGCAAGACTGTTCTGTCAAACTTCAAGAGATGATTTATTTATATTGATCACAAAGCAGCATTATCTCGGCTCAATACATTTAACCTCAGGATATTAAGGAGCCCCCACAGAAATGGCATTTCTCTTCTTCCTCAGGAGGGAGCGCTGTTCAATAAATAGTAGGCTGCCAGGGTTTTTTTTACTCTCTTACAGAATGAATGGAACAGCTTTATGTCCCCTAAGGAGACCTAACCGTCTACTCTCAGTATATAGGTTTGACAAAATGGGCTAATAGTGAACTCCTTCTCCGAATCAAGTTCTTTAAGTGGCATAAGTGACACCACAAACACACTCACACATACAGAGGAGGTATCAGGCACCTTGGAGGAACCTCGGGGTTTGCAGAAATACAGAAACCCCTCAGACTTATACAACTCAAAAATTATTTTTAAAAATTGCATGCCTCAGACGGTGACATGGGTATTATAGAAAATTTTGTATTGACAATTTTTCAGTCTTCATCAGAACATTTTCTGTTGTCCTACAGGGTGATCTAATTTAGCATGCTTATTTTATTTGTATTTAGTAAACGAAGCTAAACACTTTGAAACTGCCAAGATTGCCTTGTATATATTCACAATTGCCATGCATTAATCATTACTAACGAAATTATGAAATGGAAAACCTTCCTCAGAAAAAGGAAGTACTGGAAGAATTTGTACTCCATGTCACTGGTGTCAGACTTACATAGTACTGTATTGTGATATTTCACTGTGCAGCACAATTGTTACTTAGTCAGCAGTGTTACAGCTGCAGCCAAGCTTTGCTCCTTTCACCACAGAAACAAGAAAAGCAAATTAAAAATGGATAGTTAGATGTGAAAAATCTACACTTTAAAGATGGGAAGTGTGAAAAAAGCCTCTGAGGGATTGCAGAAAGCCTGACATGGCTGTGGGTAAACAGGTTTACATAGCAACTGTTTGCTAACTAGCAAGAGTTTTCATCATCTTTTTAAGGAAGATGAGATCATTTCTCACTGAAAATGGCATAAATGTAGGAAAGCTTCCACCAAGCCTGATTTAACTTCCAGTCCTGGTGTGATTAATAAGCACCATTATATTTCTCTCTCTAAAAGCAGGCTGTGAGTTGGTTTCTATTTAAATGCACATAGAAGCTATTTACAACCCACATGACAACAACAAAGTGTATATAAGAATGACCACAAGGTGGTGCCGTGGCCAAGAAAAGCAAGCATAACTATTAAGATGCTTTTCTAGTAACCACCACTATAAAATTCATTCATTCAAACAGTGCTTCTATTCCATTTGTAGAATTCTGCTGCCGGAAAGCTCGGAGTGACCCAAATTTATACATAGGCTAGTTTATGTTCAATATACAAGGTTTAGCCACACCATAAGCTACTTTAAGATCCCAATCTTTTTCACAAAAATTACAGTTTCAGAAGCCAGTCATACTGTAGAATGTGGTGCACAAAGTGTTTTTGTTGTTTGATTTGATTTCTTAGCCATCCTTCACAATAAGGTCCCAGGGTGGATTATAGCAATATTACAAATTACAGTCAAGAGAACTGGGTGGGTCCTAAAAATACATAGCTCAGGTGCTAAAGGCGAGGGTAAAGTGATGTATCTTCAACATACAATCGAAACTACCGTATTTTTTGCTCTATAAGACTCACTTTTTCCCTCCTAAAAAGTAAGGGGAAATGTGTGTGCGCCTTATGGAGCGAATGCAGGCTGCACAGCTATCACAGAAGCCAGAACAGCAAGAGAGATTGCTGCTTTCACTGTGCAGCGATCCCTCTTGCTGTTCTGGCTTCTGAGATTCAGAATATTTTTTTTCTTGTTTTCCTCCTCCAAAAACTAGGTGTGTCTTACAAAGCGAAAAATATGGTATATAGTATAAGTGTCAGACACACCTCTGGGGTGAGCTAATTCCACAACTTAGGGGCTGGCACAGAGAATGCCCTCTCCCACCAAAGCCTGCTTATAGTATATAAAATCATAAAATAGTCAATAAAAGAACAATAGAAGGTAGAAGTACAAATCCAGCATAGCTACCCATTTCCCAACACAATATGACACGGGAGGGGAGAGCTTTATTAGGATAACACTACAATGCAGTGAGCAAGCGTAGTTTGAGATTTTTTGCTGTTCCTAATACTGTTTTTAATCACAGTTTTAGTGAGACCATACTAGCATATGGACACATCATAAATCTAATCCATTTTCAAAGTATACAGAAAAATACATAAATGTAAGAACGAAAGGACTGAAAGTACATCTTCGCACAGCATACAATATTGTTTTATAAAACTGGGTTTTTCATAAAAGCACAGCACACAGTTAAACTATGGAATTCACTCCCACAAATAGTGACAACCATCAACATGGGTAGCAAATTCATGATGAATAAGGCTACCTATGGCTGGGTTCCATCTCTGCTATCAAAGGATCTCTGTTCAGATCCTGCTTTCAGGCTTTCCACAGGCATCTGGTTTACCACTGGGAGAAAATGATGTTATGCCATATACAGGCCATTGGCCTGGTCCAGCAGGCTCTTTTTATTCTCTTAAACAGCAAAAAATAAATAAAATCCTGATTTGCTATTACAACTAAAGTACTGAAATTCCAGAAATATTACTACCTTATAGGCAGAGCAATCCAAACTCCCCATTCCGCTGGGCTGGAGGAAATATGAATGGCATAAATGTGTCCCTCCACTCCATTAGTTTCAATGGATCTACGCTGAATATGAATTGGTCAGATACAACTCAACATATATTGTATATATACATTACATAATTTCCCCATGATATAACACAATAGATATAAACGAGCAGTCAACAGAATTCAACACCCTTGCCATTCTTATTCTTCCTCCTCTCTCACATTTTCGCTCAAAGTCACACAAACACCCGCTTACTGAAGACCCCGCTTCACACCTACCTACCTAAGTTCTGCAAAACTCCCTGCACGCCTGGAACAGACGGAAATTCAAAGAAAGGGCAAAACCCGGATGTAAGCTTCGTTCAGACCGGGAAGTTGTTGTTTCTTGACCGCTTCCGTCACACGGAAACCCCGCCTCTTCTCCTACTGCAGCTGATAGCACACTAATACTAACGCTGGCACAATCGGAACAGGAGACGAGGAACGCTAGGGGGCTTCTGTTGACTATCGCGGTTCGAGCTCTGCGCAGCCGCCAGCGCGGCGCGTGGCACCGCTAGGGCGGTGATTGGCTTTGGCGGACAAGAAGGCGGCAGCTGATTGGCTGGTTCAAAGCTGAGGGGACGGTTTGGCGGCCGCGGCGGGCGGCGGCAGTCGTGAGGGCTTCGTAAGCCGATAAAGAAGATGGCAAAGAGGCGGCGGCTGAACGCCAGTGATGGGAAGGACGGGGCCGAGTAAGTTCGACTTGAGGGTGGGGGAGCGCCGCTGAGGTAACAGGGGCTGCCCTTTTCCCTCAGAAGAAAGCGAGCCGGGGAAACGGTACGTTGTAAATCAGTCCGTTTATTTTTATCCGGCTCTTCCTCCGAGGAGCTCAGGACGGCTATTAACATAGTGGGATCCCCATTTCGTCCTGACGACAACCCTGTGAGGTAGGATGGGGCCGGGAGAGGAAGTCGCAGCCAGTGAGAGCTTCGTGGCCGAGAGGGTTTGAACCCGAGTCATGGCCTGTGGGCCTGGGGTGCCGGATGTCGAGCCCTCCTGGTGTTTGAGACTGCAGCTCCCATCAGCCCCAGCCAGCAGGGATAAAGGGCATAGGAGCCCCGCCCCGTAGTCCCCAAAGTAATGTCAGTGAGTGGGTTGGAGTGTGGGAGAATGTTGCTGCTCATTGATGAGGATATTTTCCAAATTGTTATAGATCTGGGAGGATCCCCCCAAACTCTAGGAATAAATAACTATTAGGAGTTTGATTAAATGGGATGTGGATTAAGACACCAACTTCACAGCTGTGCCAGGCAGGGAATTCCTGGACTGGCTTATGCAAACCAACCTGGTGGAGCTACGGCTATCAAGGGTACAATAGAGGCGGTTAACAAGACAACGAAACTTCCCTCTTGCCCGCAGGTGTGAACTGAGACTGGGGATTTGGGAGGTTGCCAGGGTAACAGCTGGGTGGGAGCTAGGTGAAGGAGGATAAAAGAGCTGAGATCCATCATTTGGAGTGTGCTGGCTGCAGGCTACTTACACTGCTACCTTTTGGAATGACTATGGTGTAAAATCTGGACTTCCTTCATTCAGACTGAAGGTGTAAATAGGTGAATAAACCATATTTCTTAAAGCATGACATTCTCCGCCATGTCTTCTATTCCCCAAAGGGACACAGACCCCATGTGTGTGCCTAGGACCCCATGGGCTTTTGCCACCAAGATGCTCAGAGACGCTTTGTTATTTTGCATACTTCAAGCATTTTTATATTCAATAACATTTATAGACAACTTGATTGTAAAAACAAAATACCCTCTTACAAAAATATATCTTCCAACAACTCTCAGAAGAAAGTAGGGTCCAGTGTACGCTTATGTTGCACTGCTCTCACAAGAGTAAAAGCCAGTATAAAGTGGCACTTACAGTGCCAGACTAAAAGCAGGTATCTGATAGTCCCAGATTCACATCCTCATCCATCCACCGAGCTCACGGAGAGTAACCATGCACCAGTCACTTCCTTTCTCAGCCTGGTCTACCTCACAGAGGTTGTGAGGATAAAATGAGGGGAACGTGTATTTGGAGGAATGGCAAGATAAAAATAGAATGTACATGTAATTGAACTACAGCTTGCATCATCCCTGACTATTGGCGGTGCTGACTAGGGTTGATGAGAGATGGAGTCCAATAGGATCTGGAAGGTACCACACTGATTACCCCTGTTGTAATAGTGTGTCCTGTACTGGCTTCTGAAGCAGGCTGATGTAGCCAAAACACAGGAGAAAATAAGTATTTAATATCTACTTGTTGTGGATAGGATGATTGATTCACAGTAGGTTCTACTTTATAGTATGACTAGACCTTAAAATCTCAAGTGATGAAGATCTAAATTTGTTGTGATTATCCTGAATTTTGGGAATATGTAGCTATACCACTGAGAGGTTTCTCACCTATACTTTTGCCAACATAATTTTGTAAATATTACTATCCTACCCTCTTAATTATATTTTCAAAACTCCTAAGCTTCTAAAACTTTAGCTCATCTCTTGATTGGAAGGTGTTTCAAACCTGTAATTATTTTAGGGTTGTGGCTGGGGTTTTTGAAGCTTCGTGATACCATTTTAAGATGAAGACAGACTTGTAACAGGATTCCAGATGTGGCTGCAGCAAATACTTATAGTAGCATTTCAATTCTTGCCATTTATTTTCAATCCCTTTCCTACTAATTCTTAATACTGTATTGGATTTACCTTTTTCTCAACTGCTGCATGTGTATCTTCAGTGTGTAATGCAGGCATCCCCAACCTGCGGCCCTCCAGATGTTTTGGCCTACAACTCCCATGATCCCTGGCTAACAGGACCAGTGGTCAGGGATGATGGGAATTGTAGTCCAAAACATCTGGAGGGCCGAAGGTTGGGGGTGCCTGGTGTAATGTATCTGAATATTTAATCTCTATTTTATTTTGAAGGGGGTTCATTATGGATGAGAGAGTAGCTGAATACATTAGAAGAACTGTGCTGCGAATCCCACGTTCCGAAATGGGGAAAATGCTGGCCACATGGGGGTTTCTGTCTGAAACTCAGCTTCAGTCTTTAAACATCCATCAGCTAAAGGAAAATGTGTCCCAAGAAGTAGTTCGGCTATGTGAGGTGAGAACAGTATTGGAAGGATCATTGTGAAATTTGTACAGATGTCAGTGTTTTTTCTGCATAAAATAAAACACATGCTTACTGGGAAACATAGTACCGTACTATTTAAGTACTATGACAGTACTATTGGTGGTCTGTGTTTTAAAAGTACTTTTAATAGGAGTTGGTCTCTTAATACTGAAATCTTTCTCAAGTGCCTTTAATAGAGGACCCACCAGACCTTTGGTGATGTCTTCACCCAAATAAGAGGATGAGGCAGTGATGTGAGCACATGGGAGCATGTGTGAAAAGTAGTGGTCTTTGCAGTGAGAGAATTTTGAATGCACATTTGGGGAGGCACATTATTCTTACATTTATACCCCATCTTTTGTCTGTCACTATTATTCCTTGCATGGGCAATGATGTAGAACAGGCTTCCTCAAACTCAGCCCTACAGTTGTTTTTTAGGCCTATAACTCCCATGATCCCTAGCTAGCAGGACCAGTGGACAGGGATGATGGGAATTGTAGTCTCAAAACATCTGAAGGGCCGAGTTTGAGGAAGCCTGATGTAGAAAATAGCACTGGCTTTGGCCTTTGGGGTGCATATCTTCTTGTTCCAGTTCTGAGAACTGGAGCATACTGTATCTTCTTGCTCCAGTGCTGGAGTATAGCAGGGCAATGTGATGGAGCTCCTTTTAGCACCTAATCCAGAAATCTGAGCACTGTGTAACTGGAACCCTGGGGAGAGGGCCACAAACCCCTCCCGCTGACAGTTTGTTACAAATTGTACATGTTGTATGGGAAATGTGACCTTGGAGCAATTGTGGTGAGGCTCAGGGATACTTTGGCTGTAGATACATTTTGATTTGTATAATGATTCTGCAGAATTTCAACAAAATCCATGACTGTTGTAGCCCTTGATCATCTGTGACGGAGTGCCCCCAGTTTCTTGTCAACGAAGCAACTAATGAATAACTAATAGATTTTACAGGTTCAGAGCTTAATAATGAAACAATATTATTTTAATACAAATGCAGTTTTTAAACAGATCTGGACATAAGAGTAAGCCATGAACCATGATTTACTGTGAATGAGTAGCATGCTGGTGCACACAGCTCTTTCACATCCACCCCCTCCTCCATGCTTGGAGAAAACAAATCAGGGCATAGACTTGGTTTTATGTGGAAACGAATGCTCACACATTTGCTTACCTGTTTAGAGAAAACAAACCACTAATGCTGGTTCGCAAGTAATACAAGGTCACTGTTCTACTTTGTTTTCTCCTAACATAACATGGAGGGGAGGGGGCTGGTGTGAAGCATGCACCAGTACATTTGGAAAAAACTGTGGCTTGCCATTGTATGCAATTTGGGCCTATATAATGTCGTCTAACTTTTTTGATTAGTTGTTCTTATTGTCTTGAAGGAAAACCATGCAACTATCCAGCATGCAGCAGATCTAGACATAATTTGTAAGTGAAGTGTTTTCTTATATTTTGTTGTTGTTGTGATTAGTTTCTGTTTTGGTATAAACCAGTTAGATTTTGGTTAAGCACTCAGCACTTCCTTTTGATTAGATTAATATTTGTCTTGTCGAAAAAATAAATCATTTAACTTTTAGGTAATACAAGGTAGTTGATGACTCCCCTTCCCTCTTAATTTGATGGTATTGTTTTCATTACACAGTGATACTAGGCCCAGCTATCCATGTACCATCTTCAGAAGGCAAGAGTCCTCTCCAACCCAGTAATTGTGTTTAGCCAGTACTGTAATCGTATTCCCCAATGAACATTCCCAAAGCAAAGAAGTTTCTACTAGACTAAGATTTCATTTCTTTGCAGTATACATAGCTTGAATTACATTTAGAGCCAGATAAGGAAATAGGATGCTCTTTTCAACTTAATCCTCTGTTTATTTACAAGTGTCACTGTTTAATTTGGCTTACTGCCAGAAGTGTTTATAGGATTACAGTACTATTAAATGGTATTTGCATAACTCACTAAATACAAGCTTGAATATTTGTCAGAATCTGAAGTTTTGAATTCCATTGTGATCTGAAATCAGTAGTATTTGGTAAACATTTACATTGCAGCTATTTATAGTTTACATTGTGAAATGTTAAAGTGTAACTACAGTACCCCAGATCATGCATTGATTTCTAGTTTGCTTCAATTTTTGAAAAGTAAATGGAGGTTGAAAGAATCTATATCCAATGTCAAATTAAGGAACCATAATTTCTCCTCCTCTCATAATTTGGAATAAATGTTTGGGTAAATATTTGATCTTTATTGTATTCACATTTCTTGTAAGCTGCTTTATGGTAGAAATAACAATAAGAAGAAATAACTCAACTAGTCACTTGCAGGTTGGATTTGGCTCCTGAAGAAATTTTGGGCACAAATGGCCCTATGCAAATATAATCAGAATGATATTAAAATTTGCTGACAATTATACTTGTTAGGGAAGTAAATTTTGGCTGCATGAAGGGATGAGGAAAGTGGGAGTATCTGTGTACAGTATTGTTTAGTAAGCCAAAATGTATGACTTAGAGTTATCTGCAAATGTGGCCAATGAGAATACTATGTATCTGCACTATTTGGAAATCTGTTTATATCTTACCATTTGAAAACACATGTCTTATTTCTGTGAAGCTCTTAATTGTTGGGTGGAACCAGTTTTATTATATGGAAACTGATCATCCATGAAAAGGGTTGGGTTGGATTGTTCTAATCTCCAGAATGTGTAATAGATATCGGTTCCCAAGCATACAGAACTTAGCCATCCTTTCTGTAACAAAGAGCAAAACTGTTGACTAATCAGCAAAATGAAATATGAAATTCCTGTATTGTGTAGGGAGGAGTTGCTTATAACAATTATGGATTCTTGTGTTAATAAGCAATGCTGTTTATTGTCAAATATTTTTCCTCAGACAACTACACATACAGGGACAAAAAGCTTTGGACTGTTTATCAAATGACAAAAGAAGGTGGTAAGTGTTTATAATTATCAAAAGCATTATATAAATAAGTGAAGTGCCCAGTTATCTGTTATAGTCTTATTTTGCTTATCCTCACTTTAAAGTGGATTGTGTCAGCTATCTTATAAAACTTGCTGGAAACCTCTAAAATTTTGCTGTTTTTCTTGCAGACCTTTGACTGTTTAGCAGAGCTCAGGTTGGGTTTTTCTTAATGCTACTTAAAGGCCAAGATATACTTCTTCCTTCCATAATAAAACATTTCCCCCAGGAAATGAACAGAGCAATCTAACTGGGATGTGTGTATGTATGGATCCACCACCATATCCTAAGCCTCACCAACTCATGCCAGCCAGGGTGGCAGATTAGTTTTCATTACACCAGCTCTAGACTTGCTTTGAGGAAAGAGCAACTTTATTATGCCCTTTCCAGAACTATTGTCTACAACAGCCATTCCATCCTATAGGAGAAGGTACTTGCAGGATCTTTCCATAAACTCTGCTGGAAGATCAGAAACTTTGGCCCCTTCTCTCCTTGAATTCGTATAATTCCAGGTGATCGTTATAAGAACTGAGAAACAGTGACTAAATTTTATTTCTCTCCCAACCCTTTTTCGTTTTGTATTTCAAATTTTTGATTGCATTCCTGGGGGCAGGGATATGAGACCATCTCAGAAAAGTTTTTTAACGAAAGAGCAGGATTTCAAAATTATTAATAATAAATAAATAATTTGGTATTTTGCATGATTGAACTAAAATAATGCAAGTTATGTTTGGAATGAAGCTTATTTTAAAATGTTTTATTTTATTGGCAGGTGATGAATATGACATTTTTGACTTGGCAGATTTTAAAAAGAAATTTAAAAGAAGTCTTCAGTCAGCTTTGAAAAATGTGAGCATAAACAATGCTAATATTTTGGGTTCTCTTAAATGTTTTGTTATCCTGTTGTATAAAAATAATGTAAATTTATAGTAATTTGAAACTAAATGGAGAAATGTCTACCATCTATCCAATTTAGCAGTGATCCTTGGGTTTGTTTGTTTGTTTTTTAAAAATGCAGTATTTAGTATCATATTGGAAGGTAATTAGGTGTGCTTCATATCTCATAACTTCTTTGTATACATTGTAGAAACCATTGTGTTAAAGTAGTTCATGATGTGTTTGCTGCCTCTTGTAACACAAGAAACAAGGATGTCTATACTTCTTGGCCTTTAAATATAGGGTTCTCAGTACTTTGAGTGCCCACTTCTGCCAGCTAGACTGCAATATATATTTTTCCTTTATCTTTACTTCAGGTAACTATCAGCTTTAAAGAGTTTGAAGACAATGCAATTTGGATTCGCATTGCATGGGGAACACAGTATACAAAGCCCAACCAATACAAGCCATCCTATGTAGCTTACATTTCACAGACTCCTTATGTGTTCATATCCAGCTCTAGAAATAAGAACTGCAAACCGTTACTTTTGCAGGTAAATACATTATGTCTGGTAAAAATTTGTTTTTCTGTCATCTTCAAGGTAATTTCTAAACTTAGATTTAGTAAGAGTGAATGAACAAGCAACTGGAAATTACTGCTCAGCTGCATGATATCCTACAGAGGTATATACTCTGAAATTCAATATCAAATTCCAATTCTAAAACAGAAATAATGGAACAACTCTTTCAACTTCAACTAAACTAGCACCTTCATTTTTAATTAAAGGCCCTGCTGATAGCTGCCAGTTACAATGACATCCATGAAATGGACCTCCGAAGCCGTTGTTTAGACTCGCTTAAAGATATTTTACTTAAGCGATGTAGCCAGGTGAGTTATTTAAGTATACTATTCTAAGTCAAATCTTGGGGTTTTTTTTAAATCTTAGGCCTGGTTCTAAAATTCTCAGGAGGTAAGGAAATTTTCTCCTTCAAAGAGATTGCTTATAGTACTACAGAGCTGTACAGTCTTACAATCAGGAAGAGATAATAAGGGCCAGAATTAGTTTCCCTCCTGCTTTTAGAGCCATTATTGAGTTTTTATCATTTCTGTCTGTTATCACTTAATCTCCAAATATGCCATTGAACTGCTTTGCATTACATGCTAAGCTGAACCTTGCTAAGTCACTTTGCTCCTCCCCTGTCCTTTTTGCTATTGTGCTGAGCCAAGGTTTGGCTTGATGTGCTGTCTGAACTGCGGCTTGTGGTTAAGATCTTTGTTCACTAACCATGAGCTGTAGCCAAGGTTTGTTCTTGGCTACATTTCATGGTTATTGAAGAGAGAATTGAGCCAAGGGTCCTTCACTGAGCACTGGCAAGAAGGAAAAATACTTGGTTTAGTCTAATGTTCAAAGCAGAGGTTGTGGTTTGTTTTCCTCTAAACCACAGCAAGAAGTCAGCATTTTTAATATAAATCAGATTGCAGTTTTGTGATGCTAAGCCAGTGATTTGGTTTGTTTCTTCATAAACTAGAAGGAGGAGCAAAACAGCCCTGATGGAGTCATTAAGCATAATATATAGTTAACAGTTTCTCATGGCATGCAAACTGGGTCTTAAGTCAATGAACTTGGAATATTGGTTGTATACAAAGTCCTACTCGGAGTAGAGCCATTGAAATTGATGGACCTAATTTAGTCATGCCCATTCACTTCAGTGGGTCTTCTCTAAGTAGGACAAGCATTGAATGCTATGCAGTTTCATACAATCACTCATTAGAGGCAAAAATACACTAACAATGTTCTATCACTATTCTATCTCTCCATGGACCCCCTCCTCCAGAAATTTCAAACACATCACCCACAACCTCTACAAGAACGAAATTGCATTCTGCAAAGAGGTACCCATAATATCTTGGTTTAAAACTCTATATAGCAAAACAGTTTATTTAAATATTAAGAAGTCTGGCCATTGTAAGAAGGCCCATGTTTACCACATGACTATCGGTTTTGGGGTGCCCATATCCCCTGTGTGTGCACAGGAAGTGGTTCAGCAAGTTGTGCACTAGTTGGAGAGGTTTATCAATCTTCTAAAATATTTAAATAAATATTCAGAAACTTCAAATAGTGGCTAATATTTATCTTGCATGCATTAAACTCACAGCTGGAAGTTCATAGCTTTCTCTGGTGTTGATCTGTTCGCTTTTAGTATGTTTGTTATAGAGTAAATGAATGGGGGGGGCACTGCAGCACAATTCATAGAGTACTTCAAGCACCCAACAGTGAACTGCGTGTGTATGTCTTGCTCTGTTGCATCATGACCTTTACATCTTTGGATTCAGTTCTGAATGCTACTTCGAAAAGGATAACATTTTACATGAGATTTTATATGGTTCTGTACTTTCAGTGGATCCAAATATAGTAAAGGAAGATAAACTTAAAAAGGAAAGAATTGAAAGAGTTAATGAGGAAGCCTTTGGTGATGGTCCTCAGCCAAAACTGGAGTTTGCACAATACAAGGTAAAATTATATTTAATGCATATTATATAAATTTAATGCACAAATATACATTTATTATGTATATGTATACTATAGAATTTATTTTTGCACAAAACAATACTTAGGGCTGAAGTGTCAGTTAACTACTTAGATTAATTGAATAAGACTATTTGATCAACTGAAAAAGGTGCCATTAATCAGATTAAAAAGAAATACATGAAACTATATGGTAGGCACCATCTCAGGGGAGGTACTCCCCTGTGTAAGATGCACAAACAAGTTCAGTTTTTATTCTGTTTATTCTATTACTACTTCAATCCCATTTGTTTACTCAGAAGTAAGTTCCTATGTTCAGTTAGAGTTGTTTGTGGCCTAAAATTCATATAATTGACTAAGTTTTCTATTTCTGCAGCAGCCCTGCAATTTTTTTAAGATAGGCCAACTGTTAGCGTGCAGATTTCATTGTACTAACTGAAAGAGTATTGATTTGTTCCTCCGTGTTGCATGAATCCATTCTAATACTGTATAGACTGCTTGAAATACAGTCTAAAACCCTGGGCTTAAATAGCTTACTTTTCTTAAATGAACTATTTTACATGCACACAGGATTTCCAGCCGTGCATGCAGATCATTACCCTGTATACAGAATGGTGATATTCCTTTGATGTTGTAATTGATACATCATGGTCTTGAAATGTTAAAGTACTTTTCTCAATTCACAACAACCCCAGAGGGTAGTGTACTGAGACTGAAGTAATTCTTATGCTTTTTAATTGAGCCAATACTGTAGCAATACTGAGACAGTAAATTAGAACATGTAGCTTAGTGCAGTGATAAAAATGCAATCAAAATTGCTGCAAGTGTTTTGGGTTCTTTAAAACTATGAATGAGGCTGTTTTAGGCCTTGTTGCCTATTTGCCACAGGGGGGCACTCTTTGGGTTTTTTTAAATGCACATCTATTGAACCTGTTTTATTTAATGTCTTTGTGACAGAAGGCCCAAGTAACACTTGTTTCGTGGTACAAGACAGGTAGAATTCCACCAGAGTGATAATAGTTCTCCATATGTTGAGCTCAGTCTTCACTGATTGGCTCTGTGTGTGTGTATACACACAAATACTTAAGAATACATAAGTACTTTGAAAAATCAGATTGTAAAATCTGAAAAAGTTGCTGTTCCTGTTTGTCGATTTCTTAAAGAAAATGCATAAAGCTCTTTTAAAATGAGGTGCAGGAAAGGATAACTGTTGAATTCTGAGTGGATCCTGAGTGTAATACCGTATTTTTCGCCCTATAGGACGCACTTTTTCCCCTCCAAAAATGAAGGGGAAATGTGTGTGCGTCCTATGGGGCGAATGCAGGCTTCCTGAAGCCTGGAGAGCGAGAGGGGTCGGTGCGCACCGACCCCTCTCGCTCTCCAAGCTTCGCGGACCTCTCCGCAAACAGCGGGAGCGTTCCTGCTGCTTGCGGAGAGTTGCCTGCATGCCGAAGCCTGCGCGCGCTGAGATCAGCGCGTCCAGGCTTCGCGGACCTCTCCGCAAGCAGCGGGAGCGCTCCCGCTGCTTGCGGAGAGTTGCCTGCATGCCGAAGCCTGCGCGCGCTGAGATCAGCGCGTCCAGGCTTCGCGGACCTCTCCGCAAGCAGCGGGAGCCAGCGCTGGGCTCCCACGGCTTGCAGAGAGCTGCCTGTTTGGGGGCTGGGGTCGGGGGAAGCTCGGGCCTCGCGCCTGGGGGGGAAAATAATTTTTTTCCCTTTATTTCCCCCCAAAAAACCTAAGTGCGCCTTATGGGACGGTGCGTCCTATAGGGCGAAAAATACGGTAATCTGTTGGCTGAAAACAAAGTGTAGTTTTAGCACTTTGAACTGTAAAAATAATTATCGGCTTATTATAAGCTACAAAGAGCGCTTTTTTATAAACCCATTTATTGATTTGACTTACAGCTTGAGACTACGTTCAGAAATGGTATCTTGAACAATAAAGACCCGTTTAGATGTATGGTCAAGTTTTCTAGTCCTCATCTTTTAGAGTCACTGAAATCCCTAGCACCTGCCGGTAAGTGTTCCAGTGTCTGAGAATGCACACTCATAGTATTATGTTTTGTATGCTTATCTGGTGCATAAGGATTCCATAGAAGCAGTAATTTCTGAGTTTCAGTACCACAACTGCCAAACTTATTTTTAATCTTTCAATGTTTTAAAACTGGTTTAGGCTTTAAATGACAGCTGATAATCAGACAACTGGCAAAATGTACTCTGTTTCACTTGTCAGTACAGTGGAACCTCTACTTACGATGTAATCAATTCCAGAGGTCTGGCCATAAGTCAATCCGGGTCGCTGGTAGAAGCGCTGTTTTGTGTGGCAGCCGCTTTTTTGCATGCACGAATCACAGCAAACCCGGTATTTACTTCCGGGTTTGCCATGGTCGCAACTTGGATCGGGCCCAAGTAGAGGCAGTCGTAAGTATAGGTTCTACTGTATTTAAGTGCCAAAAAATTGAGTTGAGGAATATTGGCTGTGCCAGCATTCCAACATAAACTAAGATGCAGGCAAATGATTCCATAACATCTTCAGAGCCCTTAAGCACTGCAGCTGAATGTTCGGACTTCAGTTCCTATTGCTTGACTTGCACAGGGGAGTGAGAAACTGAAATGTATCAAACTATGCTAGCAGGAGACATTAGGGGCTGAACTTGACTAAAGGTCCCCTAGTGTGGGGTAGGGAACTATTGGCTCAATCCCCATGACGTCTAGTAAGTAAGGCAAATTATGAGAGTTGTAGTAAGCATGGCTAATTAAGGGTCATCAGTTCTCCTGTCCTGGTCTAGTGTAACATACAGAGGATTATAGACTATTATAGTGATCTAGAATAAAAGGCAAGTGCATAAACTAAGTGAAGAGCTGTGTTTAAAAGAAAAGGCTTATGTGACCCTTAAAAGACAGGTCCCACCAAACTGTTTTGTTCTTTGGACAGCTGTACTTTCAAGGCAATATGGAACCATATGCAAAACTTAGAACTGATTCTAATTTTGTTTTCTTCTATTGTAGGGCTGGCAGATGTTCCCCCCTCACCATTACTTACTTGCATCACCCAAAAAGCCAGGAACTATTTTAGAATTAATGAGAGAAAAAGTGCACTATCACAAACCCTTGCAAGCTAATGGCATTTTTAGACAAAGGAGTGGATTACTTATTTCTCTTCAGCAAAATAAAACAACATGGAATGTATTCCTATAAACCTCTTACAATTCAGTTGGTCAGATTACAATATGACATCTTAGCAGGCTGTAGCCTGCTAGCTGGTGTGACCTGTTGACCAGAGTCTGTATGTACTTCCTGGACAATGAGTAGATGAACTTCTTTAGCAAATAACTGAAGTTAGATGTAATATCAAAGTGCTTGATTGTTTAAGCAAATGAAAGTTTTACTTATCTTTAACTTTTCAGGCAACTTTTCAAAATTCTTATTGATATGGTATTAAAATTATAATAAACATGGTGCTTGTAATAGTAGTTTTTAAAAATAGCTGTGTGATTAAATAAATGAAAGGCTTATAACTGCTTGTGTCCAAGTTGTGTACAGTATAATGAGACAAACTCTGAAGCAGCCACCCCCTCTGAATAACAAAATACCCTGATTCAAAGCACTGCAAAGTCTGAGCATGTAACTGGCCCCATTATACTGGTAGCATCTCTTTTATATCAAGTATATGTGCCTCTGTTGAATTAGAATCAGATTTCCAAAGAAGGTTGAGAGACAGCATATTTTAGAGAATCAAAGATTTATTTACTATAGATGTAAAATCATTATTTTGAATTTTTAAAGGTTAAACACTGACATTAATGAATATTTAATCCAACCGTTAATGGTATTCCTTCTTTAATATAAGCCTTTTTTAGATTTTCTTCCTATTCTTATTTAATGTCCAAACCTGTTTTGAAGTTAATTCACATGTTATGGGGTACTCACATTTTGACTTGGAAGAAAATCACCATTTTATAGTACAAATTGGGGAAAATAAATACAGTAAATGGACAAAAGTACAAAGATTCACAACATGTTTAGGGGTATGCGCACTCCTGTGTGCCCCCCCCCAGAAAAAAGCACTGTGTGTACATATCAATTTGAGTTCATTTAACAGGTAGATTTGGAATGTAGAGATCTGTATTCCAGTGTTAATGACATCCATAGCTTCATACATTTGGTAAAATTAATCCCCCCCCTTTTTTTTTTTTTGCTTTGTCCCTGTGTAAAATGGGATTGAGTTCATCTGAGGATGTACACATGGGCGTAGGCAGGGGGCAACAAGGCAGGGGTTAACAATCTGAGGATGTACACATGGGCGTAGGCAGGGGTTAAGAAACTGAGGATTTGCCCCCTAACATGAAGCCTGCCCCCCGCAACATAAATCCTGGCTACGCCCATGGATGTACACAAGTTGCAAACAAACTTTTGCAAATGACAAAATAATTTCTACCTATCGGTTCTCAGTTGCGGTCAGGCCTCAGAACCCGAGATCTTTCATATGCGACTGCTGAATGGGGGGGGGGGGGGGTAACCACCACCCTCTTTTGTCCACATTCTTATCAATAAGCCATATCCCATTTTACAAATGGAGAGATAGAAAATGCTGGTCTACTTTTATTTCCAGCCGCGGATAATATCTGGAAGGCATTAGGGGCAAACTGGGTGTGGGACTTGTTTCGCAGAACGCGCGCCCCTCATGAATATGGAAAACGCCAGGTATAAATATGTATGAGCTGCCTGTCAGTCTCTCCGCCGAGTTCCCTTCCACGCTCTTTCTCCCTCTCCTCCCGCCACCGGAAGTGCCCCGCCGGTCGGCGGATCGGGAACGGCCGAGAGCAACATGGCGGCTACGGCAGGAGGAGCCGCGGCAGCAGCCGTGTCACGGGCGCCGCCCGCTCGGCGGCCCGGCCTGGGCCTGGGTCTCGGCCGCCCTCCGCGCTCGGCGCCGCGCGGCCCCCGCGAGCGGCCGTCGAGCCCGTGGGAGCTGGTGAGGCCCTCGGTGACGGAGCTCTCGCGGGCCGTCAGGAGCAACATCCTGTGCACGGTGCCCGGCTGCGGCAAAGTGCTGCCCAACCCGCCGGCGCTGAGCATGCACCTCAGCAAGGCCCACGGCGTGCAGCAGCAGCAGGTAAGCGGCGGCGGCGGCGGCGCCCTCCCCTCCCCCGCTCCTCCAGGGACCGAGCGCCTTCCCTCTCCCTCCAGAGGCGCGCCAGAGAGAGGTTTCACTTCAGCCCCACTTTTTAGCATTCGGTTTCGTTATAAGCTTCCCAGGTAACAATGTACTACTGATGGGTAGCTATCAGAATTCAATTATTTTCATTGATGGCAGCTATCTGAATTCAAATGTTAATCTTAATAATCACTCCCTTCAAGCATCGGTTTGTTCACAACGTTCCCAAGTCGTAGTTATTGATGGGTAGCTGACAAAATTCAATTATTAATTATAATATTCAGCCCCTCCTCGTACCCCAGGCAATAATTATTAACTGGTAGCTATAGACATTCATTTATTAATAATAATCACAGCAACAAAAGCCCTTTTCCTATTCTCCGCACCCCACCCCCTTTTGGTTGATTTACCTCAGATACCCCTTTCCCCTCCCTCCCTCCAGTGGCATTCTTAATATCTTTTTAATGCTCTGTTGTTGTTGTGAGCCACTTTGAGCTCATTTTCTTTGCTTGAAAAGTGGTATGCCAGTACAATGTTAAATCAAACCTCAGAGACTCCCTTTCCCACTCACAATTACTTCTTAGCTTTATTTAAAGGTTTCAGGCATATCTAGCAAAGCTGCCAGGATGCCATACAATCATGGTAATAAAATACCTTTTTTAAAAAAGCAAATGTTAGGGAGGGCCCATAGCTAAAGTGATGCACATCCTTTGCATGCATAAAGCTCCAGGTTTAGTCTTGGGACAAGATTCAATTTCTGCTAGTTGTGGCAGATGATACTGGGCTGGATGAACCATTTGATCAGATTTGGTGTGAGGTAGCTTCCTAGTTGCTCATGTAGAAGATTCCTTGTTCAATACTCGCACCTCCAGTTAAAAGTATCTTATTGGGAAATAATTATCCTTGAGATCCGAGAGACCTGTGGCCAGTCAACATAGAAAATACTGAATTAGATAACCATTGGTGTAAGACTGGGAGTAGCCAACATGGTGCCCTCTAGACATTTTAGACTACAGCTGCCACCATCAGCCCCAGCCATCATGGCCAGTGATCAGATATTATGGGGGGATCGTAGTCCATAACAACTGGTGGCCACCACATTGCCATTCCTGATCTAAATCATATGAATATGGTGTATGAAAGTGCCATACTGTACTGTGTCCTTTGAGTCAGTATAATGGGCTGTATCCAAGGTTAGTTCTACTCAGAGAAGACCCATGGAAACCCAACCCACTGTAACCTCATTTCATATGCTTTGAATGTAGAAGGTTTCAGGTTCAATCATCAGTATCTCCAAATGTTGGGAGTATAGTCAGACTATACTCAGCCTGAAATAAGTTAGTGAGGGTCTTATAGGGGGGAGGCAAAACACTGGGTTTATTGAAATCAAAGTTAGAGAGGTCTCATACACTCACAAACACTCTGTGATGGAGTGGGGTTTGTGGTGGAAGCTTTACACTGCAGAGATCTTGCCCTTCCCCAATTGGTTCTGTCCCTCTAATACCTTTTATCCCTCAATAACTTGATCATCTGAGCCTCTTTGTCTGTTCACTTAGTACTTCCCAAAATTCTCTAGTTCGTAACTTGGTTGATTGGCATCATAATTGCAAGTAACTTTGGCATTATCAGGATGTTTTCTGTTCTTCCTGGGGAAGACTGGGTACCAGCTATCCCTGGAATGTTATTTTCCTCTCATGCTTCTGGAATTTCTGTTAATCATAGGTTAGCCTGTGACTTCCAAGGACTGTGGCTCTTATTGTGGATTCTTAACTCTGTAGCTTCATGATGATTCTGTAGAGGCAGAATTCTAATGCTTTGTTCATTTGTGATACTCAGCAGTTCAGCTCAGCTGCCATCCTACTTCCTTTCCTTTAGTAATTTTTCAGCAGAAAGTATCCATTCTAACCATTCATTCACAGAGTTGCAATACATACCGTAATTGGTAACCATCCACAACACATTCTGCTTGACCTAGAACAATGTGTAATATAAGTGCAGTGGTACCTCGGGCTAAGTACTTAATTCGTTCCGGAGGTCCGTTCTTAACCTGAAACTGTTCTTAACCTGAAGCACCACTTTAGCTAATGGGGCCTCCTGCTGCCGCCACGCCGCCGAAGCACGATTTCTGTTCTCATCCTGAAGCAAAGTACTATTTCTGGGTTAGCAGAGTCTGTAACCTGAAGCGTATGTAACCTGAGGTACCACTGTACTCATAGTTCTAAAGCACTATCAGGTATCTTACTGTCTACTGTAATATTGGCACTAAAATACAGAATACCATTTTGAGAAAACTCTTTGTTGGTTGGAGCAAAAATAAGTCTGAAAAGATATCTCTGAGGTAAAAGCCCAACATGCCATTATGTCACCCTGGGATATGTAAAGGGATGAGGAGACATTACAAGGAGTCCAAGTAGGACCTGTTGCAATATTATTGTCACATTACTTCAAAATCTTAATTAAGTCAGTACTTTCCAAACAAAGTATCTGGCTGCGAGATGGAGGACATTGTTTTAGAAACACTCGTTTTGCTCTAAATAGCTACAGCTTCCCACCAGAGGTTTTATCAAGCACTTCTGGAAGGGATTTGGAGGAAGCCGCCAGCCACTTCCCATTAAAGGTCACATTTCAAATTTGGAAAGAGATTAAAACTTAAATAATATTATCAACAAAGTACAATCAGAAGCAGGAACCCAACCATAAAGGCAGTAGCAAAGATGTGAGTACTTCATTTAAATACCAGGATTTTGAAAACAGCACCATGGGCTTGGGCACAAAGCTCATTTTCAAGTTAAACACAAGAGAAGAGAAAGTTACAGGAGAAAAGAAAGATTAGCGGTAGGGATTCTGGCTTTGGTGAGAGGAGGTTTCCTTGCTTAGCCTGAAATACACAGAGCAGCTGAAGGACTTAACCTGAGGTACCACTGTATATGGAAATCTGTATACCCTTGTGAGTGAGTTTTGAAGTGAGACTTGCATTGTATATGGGGAAACTGAGCTCTGTAAAATTAACAGGAAGACTCCAGTCACTGGGTCTGTGAGCCAGTTTTAAGTCACCACTCATCCATGGATCTCACTAGGTGACCTTGAGGCAGTCATTATTCTTCAGCCTAACATACTTCATGTAGTAGTTGTGAAGATAAAATGGATGGGTGGAAGCCTGAGATGAAAAATGTAATAAATAAATGCTGGCAGCTTTTTGTTGTTTTTAAAGATTCTTTTGCTTAAAGATGGAAAATATTTTTTCATTCCTAGGGATTTATATATGCTACCACTGCTGTTTATTAACAGAAGGGTAGGGAGGGCCTGAAGAGTAGAGAGAGTCTTCCTGCATTCTTCAGGACTGAATCGTTGCATTTCAGGTTTTAGCATCTCTAGGCTGTTCTCTCACACTTTCCCCACTCCTTTTTGAAAGGGAAGATAAAAAGAAGATAGAGAAGAGGTTGGGCACCGATGATGAAACTTAGACTCCAGCCAGTCTGAGCATGTATCTAATTCAGCTGGTTTGGAAAGCCTTGGATTACGAATGCTTGGGGACCTTAATGTATAAAGAGAATGCCACACTTTAAAAAGCCTTTAAAAGTTCTGCAGTCCAAATTTTACACCAAGGAAAGCTGTCTCTTTGTATTAATTGAACCACACCCATATACTTCTGCAATCAAACTATTTTGTAATGTTGGGCACTGAATCCCTGTCCCCAAACTACTGGAATTATGCCCTATCTCAAAGCTACTGGAAATCCTACTGATTTCCTTCTGGCTTGTGAGATTTTAGGAGCCATATCCACGCATATTTCAAGCAAATCTTTCCAACCAGAAGTGCCAGAAACTTTGCGTTTTTTAATATAATATTATAGGAAATAATACGCTCATTATTCTGTGTTTTTGTCCATGCTTGCTCTGAATCACAGTATGCTCAAAAACCTGCTCAAGTTCAGCTATGGAGAGACTGGAGCAATCAGTGGTTCCTTGATCTGGTTCATGGCTCTGACATCACAAGTTATTGGTATAGCACTAGTCTCCTTAGCTTCAGTTTGTTTTGAATTTAATATTACACTCTCTTGCTGTGAGGTGTTTGGTTCTAAATTGGTTGGTCTAAAAGTTCAGCATAATGTTTTCTGCAAAATGTTTCTGTTTCCTAAGTGACAGTGTTCACTCAATCATATCTTCATGGTTTAACAAGCCCAGATGTGAATAAGCCTTGTGTCCATACACACCCTTCCCTCCCTCCTTGGTGCCCCAAAATTAACCCCAGAATTCTTCATCTACTCTTATTACACTAGCACTAGGAAACTGTTTGTCTCAGGTTTGGGACATTTTCAAACCATGGTTTAAAATCCTGGGTGGTTGGGAACATTGTAACTGTGTTACTGGGGCCTATTGTTAATTGAAAATTGCCTTGCTTCTCACAGCGTGCCAAGGAAAATGTGGCAGCATGAGGATAGCATACCCTCCAACATTTCTCCGATGAAAATAGGGACATCCCATTCCATAATGATAATTTTACTATTTATACCCCACACATCTTACTGGGTTGCCTCAGCCACTCTGGGCAGCTTCCAACATATATGAAAACATAATGAAACATTAAAAAAACCTTCCCTATACAGTATTTGCCTTCAGACAGCTCAGGGGGTAGATAACTCCATCCCATACCCTCCAACATTTCTCCAGTGAAAACAGGGACATCCTAAGGAAAAGCAGGACATTCTGGGATCAAATCAGAAACCAGGACGGCTTCTCTAAATCAGAGCACATGAGATAGAGCACATGAGCAAAAGCCTTGTACATACCTCTGCTTATTTAGCCAGGATTGACCCAAACTGGGTTAGTGAATAATCAACTACCTGTCACATAATCTAGGCAATTAGAGTGAGCTGGGATGTAAACTACCTAAAGTTTTTATTCCATATAGGGAATAACTGAAACATGTACAGAAGTTTCAAGTGGAGAGTCTCTTCAGTATGCAGGCAGGCAAAATGCTGTATAAAGACAAGCTTTATTTGTATTCCAGATACTTCTGAACCCCAAACATTAGATACAATTTAATAATATTCTTCTCCTACAGGATGGAAAAATAAATCCTTCAATAAGGAAAGACTTGAAAACGCCACAGAAATACTACTGCTGTCCTATTGAAGGTTGCCCTAGAGGACCAGAAAGGCCTTTTTCACAATTTTCTCTTGTAAGACAGGTATGTATTCTAACTACATTATTCAATAAATAGAACAATATAATTTATATGGAACATCTTATTCAAGAGCCATGCATCTTTCTGAATTGCAAGATTTCTGTGTAAATGTAAACCATTATAATCATAATGGTATACATATTGTCAGTTTCTATTGTTTATGGGATCAGTGTGTTGGGAAAGAGCTCTCATGGAACTAGGGAGCCTGCAGCATCATTGCACAGGTTTTATACACGCTACTCTTTCGTTAGAAAATTAAACTTACTAAATGTGCTGAGATATGCCTTCAGTAGCTGACAGTGAAAGGAGCAAATCGGAGGGTAATTTTGCTGTAGATTTCTGAGTAGTTAATTCAATTACTCCTTTGACTTAACTCTCTGTAATATGCCCTCTTTTCCCCAGAAGTACATAACTGTGTAAAACTTATAATGGGCCTGTGTAGATTATTGAGAACCTTAACTGCTAACTTCATGCAGGCTGAATGTCAGAGGTCTGGATCTTCTAAGAAATGCATTCTCTGATTCTTAATATCTTTTGAAAGTTAAGCTAGTGGAATTGTTGAAAGTCAGTTGAGTTGCAGCAAGGTAGCGCATGTGGACTTTCATTCCCATGTTTTAATCATTTTCAGGAATTCCAGAAAAATCTTGAACCCCCTCTATCAACTCCAGTCAGTCATTTTAAAATGCATGAAAATGCATCAAAAACTATGGAAAATTCAGTTGTTGAAGGCATGCTTAAAAGTGCCTTGTCTTGCATAGACAAGGCTGGAACTTGAACAGCTTTGTGTCTCAAACATAGTACCACTTTCTTTTGTTGGGGAAGGACCATCGCTCAGTGACAGAGCACTGGCATCTCCAGGTAGGGCTCAGAAAAAGACCAGTCTGAAATCCTGAAGCTGCTGCCAGTCAGTGTAGACAATACTGACCTAGATGAACCAGTGCTGTCCAAGGCAGTTTCCTATAACTTACCTAACTTCTGTTTCTATATTTCAGCATTTTATGAAAATGCATGCTGAAAAGAAGCATAAATGTGATAAATGCAGCAATTCCTATGGCACGATATGGGATCTGAAGCGACATAGTGAGGACTGTGGCAAGTCTTTCCAATGTACTTGTGGATGCCCCTATGCTAGCAGGACAGCATTATTGTCTCATATTTATAGGACACAGCATGAGATCCCTGTTGAACATAGGTAAGAGCAACATTTTTCCATTGTTAACTGTTCCATATATGTGCACATATATTTGCCTTAAAACATTGGAAGGGGGAGGAGTTCTAACACCATTCTGTGAAGATCATTGCCACTGACAGCTTCCCTTATCTTACCAACAATTTTTTTTTAAGGATAACTAAAGAGGCATGGATTTTTCCAGGCTTTTATACAATCAATTATTATCCAACATGCTGCCCACCACTAAAAGTGATTCTGTTTGAACTATCTAAGAATTCAGAATGCATTTCCATTCAATGTGGGGAGGCAGGATGCCTACTGCTTTTGAAGTCCTTTATCAAAATGCTTAATGCACAGTATTATAGACTGTGTGGAATTGCAGTGCAAGTTTTACTTTTAGGTCAGCATTGTTGGCTGCTAAACTGCTGTAAGATTATGCTTTGGTTGAATAGCCTAGGCACAGAGTTTAACTGTAACTCTGACTTATTTACCCAGCAATGCAGTTTTCTGCTTAACCTTACCTTACTTCAGTGTGTTACTATTTTGATTTCTCGAAGTATGCTTTCAAAGCAAACAATTCACATTATTCTAAATTCTGTTATAGAGATGGTAAAAGTGGTGGGGTGGGAAAGATTTGGAGGGAATGAAAGAATATGTGCTTATAGCTGTACCTAGTCAAAGATTTTGTAATATTTACAGGGATCCACCAAGTAAGAGAAGGAAAATTGAAACCTCTGTATCCAATCAGTTGGTGGGAGAAAAAGTTAAAGGAGCTTCTGCCAGTGTCCAGACCAGATGTACTAGCACTAAAGACTTGGAGACCCCTGAGATGAAGCCAGCAGCTTCTTTTGAAGATTCTAGCTGTTCCTATACTACTAAGCAAACACAAACGCAGCCAAAAAATTCACCAAAGTTGCTTCTGCCAAAGCCAAAAGTGGCTTTGGTTAAACTCCCTGTAATGCAGCTTACTCAATTGCCTATCTTTGTATCAGCACCAGACTCTTCTGTCAAACCCGTTGTAGTTGCCGTTGATGACAAAGGCTCTGTTATGAGTACTGTTCACTTAATGCCTCTGCCAGTAGGATTTATGATACCAGGACTGGAGGCTGAAACACTTGCATTTAAAAGCACCTTGCCCCTTTCAAAAACCAAAAATGCTGGCAGTGTTGAGCCAGTCAGCACAGGTATCCAGGTCAATTTGGGTAAAGGGGCATCAGATAATACAATCCAAGATCTGGAAGCCATATGCTACAAGAACGGGATTTGTTCAACAAATGTGCAGACGGACTTATCTTATATTTCACAGAACTTTGTGACATCTGCAGCCTGGACTCCTGATTCATCGGTGTCCTCTTGTTCTCAAACAGACCTGACGTTCAGCTCTCAGGTTTTGTTGCCAATTAATGTGCAGACACAGACACTGTTACCCAGTTCAAAGTTGACTTCTTCCATAGCTGCTCAGACAGATGCACTTGCACAGGCTTGCTTTCAGTCATGTGGAATTTCTCGGGAGACTCAGACCAATAGGTCACAGAAAGATATTGATGGGAGAGTACAAATGGACCAGGCTGTAATGTGCAATGACATTTTTGACAGTGTTAGTTCATCATTCAGTGATTCAACCACAGTGGGACTTCCAGGCAGCAACTTAATGGCTGCAGGCCTGGGTCAAAGTCTGCTGCAAAGAGGAAGCTGCACATCTTTGAGTCCAGACACTAAGTGTGAGCCAGTTATCAGCTTCAGTGCACAAAATAATATTCTCCCACAGCAGGTTATGACAGACAATCAGACCCAGACAATGGAGTTACTGAACGATCTTGAAACTATTTTTTCGAATAACACAGCGGGTCAGTCATTGGATAACCGTAGTCTTTTGACTGACACTAGCTCGCATGCTGGCACACCCTTGCCTTCTGGCCCTACGCAGAATGCAGGAATTGATTTTGACATTGAGGATTTCTTCACAGCCTCCAATATCCAGACACAGACAGAAGAGACCCAGCTGAACTCTGAGCCAGTCTTGGAGTTACTAGATATTGAAACCCAGACAGATTTATTTTCAGATAATGCCACCCAGTCCTATAGCTGCAGGGGTAATCCCAATTTCTTAGGTTTGGAGATGTTTGACACACAGACCCAGACAGACTTAAATTTCTTTTTAGACAGCCCCTATTTGCCTTTGGGGAGCATCTTGAAACAGTCTACCTTCTCTATGAGCACAGACTCATCTGATACAGAAACACAGACAGAAGTGCATTTTCCTGCAAAAAATTCCTCTAACCAAATGGCAGAAAGCAAAGTCCAGCTGAATAGTGCTGAAACACAGACCATGGATAGCTGCTTTGAAACCCTTGGCAGTTTATTTCTTACTAGCAATGAGACTCAGACTGCTATGGATGACTTTTTGTTGGCTGACTTGGCCTGGAATACAATGGAGTCACAGTTCAGTTCAGTCGAAACACAGACTTGTGCAGAATTGTGTTCTCTGTTTCAGGGTCCTGATAAATCAAACCATTGAGTGCTGTTCTCAAACTCTCTTTTCTTTGAGGATTAAGTTATGTGTGGGTAGGAGAAACTGACATTCAAGTCACCTCCACTGAATGTAATTGACCACATATGGTTGGTTTACAAACTGTGTCCTACTATAAGGTACTTTAACTGTTTTGTGTTTACTAATATGAATCCCGTGTGCATATGTTCACTGCTGTGTGTTTGTGTATGTTTGAACACTTCATAACTGGTAGTAATATTGTGTCTGCCCTCTGCTATGCTGAGTTACATTTAAAAAAAAAAAACTTTTAAGTTCCAAACTCATAGCTGTTAGTAATACCTGTCCTCTGATCTTGACTATTAACGCAGCAGTCCTGTATTTGGGAAGTCCACTAAACAGATTGGAGTTCTTGAGTAATCAAACATGGAATTGTGCTGTAGGTTGTTGTTGGTTTTTTTTTTTAATGGACCAAAACCTAGTTTTCTTTAAATTCTGGCTCATTCCCCAAATCCTGAAAATGCAGCTCTTCTCTTTTTTTTAATTGTTTTTGGAGTTCTTTGTTGCAATTCAGCTCTACAGGGGTTACATCATGGTTGTGCCCAAGAATTCCTAAAGATTCACGCTTCCGCATGTTGCTATGACATAGGCTAACAATTTGGCAGGAATGTGCCCTACATACTTGCAGCAGCTTGTTGCTTGCTAGAAAACCAACCAAAGTACAGAACAAGTTCTCTCTCTCTCTCTCTCTGTCTCATCTGGCTTCTAATCCATATAAATTTAGTAAGACTTCATACTTGCGACTGTAGGTAGGTGGACAACTGAATATTGACATCATCATACTAAGAAAAATGTGCAGCAGTACACTTTGGATTCTGTACAACTAAGCTATACTCAGACTAGGATTACTAAAATTAATCTAATTTAGTCATGTCCATTAATTTTGGTTGGTCTGCTCAGTGTATGACTAATACAACCCAACATGTTTAACATGGGTAAATCCTTGTTGATCATGGATTCATTTTTCTTGAAACAATGTTAGTAGCCTGTAAGACATTTAGTTTCTGAACAGTCTTGCCAAGTTCTAGCAGACAGTTTGGAATTAAGCTCAATGGCTTGCAAAAATCTATATTAAGCAAGGAAAAGAAAGGAAGGCACCAATGCAGAAATGTGAGAGGATACTTCAAATATACACTTGGATATATGTTATTTAATTCAGTGTATTTTGTGTCAGCAACTCTTCAGAGCTGCTGGTTTTCATTGCCTCTGAAAAGGGATTATTGACTAAAATTTCCAATTTACCTTTTTCTTTTTAATCTGTCCTAAGAGCTTATGTCAAACAATCACTTTGGAAACATAGCTGCAAGGCAAACTATGAGAAAACAGTGAGTTCCTATCTGCTCAGGACAAGATTACTAGGAAGCTCTTCTACCAAGTGATAAAGGAAATTGTTCATCAAAGTAGCAGATGGCATGTGTTCAACTACAGCTTTTACCTGCTGTTGGACATAAAGTTCTGTTTGTGATTGAATTCTTTAAATTCATGTTGAGCCCTCAGCTCCTCCAAGAACAACTTATCTTTCAAAGGGCAAAAAAACTTAGGGCTAGGATGGAGGATCTGTGGTCCTCCAGATGTTCCTGGGCTACAACTGTTATCATCCCTGACAATTGTCCCTACTGGCTGAGGCTGATGGGAGTTGGGAGTTCAGCAGCATCTGGAGAGCACCATGTTCAGTGGTAGGGCCTGTTGTTGTCTTTGTATAGTGCTGCTAATGGTCTGTCAGCATAGACCCATCACTTCCACACTGATTTTGTGTCTTACCTTCTAACGCTTACCCAACATACTCTGTGCAAAGTCTAAAGTGTTAGCAACTGCTCAGTGTTATCTGTTGATGTTCTTCAGAAACTTCTATTTCCGTTTTTTGTTTATTGAAGAGGACATCCTACACTGGATATTTGCAATCTTCATTAATTGCATGCAGGGTTTATTTTTTCTCTCTCCAAGCATTTATTCCGCAGAATTGAGCATCTATTTCCCACTGAGCCTTGGATAAGCATTTGGAAGAAGAACTCTCAACTGGGTCCTGTATGTACATAAGATTTTGGTATGCACCAGCTGATTGCTTCAGCCAAAGAGTGGCAAACAGCTTCCAGGTTGATGCAGGTTACACACTGTTCTTCAATCAATCTCTAGATTGATGCTGTTTAACAAGCGATGAAGCTGAAATGATGCAGTTTGGTCAGAGTCCCAGGCAGCAGTGAAGTAATGACATCACTTAGGGTGCACTCTTTATGTATCATGCAAGTTGTTTTGATCTAAGGTCCATTGCCAGTCAGGAGTGGTACTGTTATTCCTCCATGGTCACACGAATTATTTATTATTATTTCTTATTTGATTTATTACTTGCCCTTCCACCATAAGATCCCAGGTTGGTTCACAAGAATTTAAAATACATTAAAAAGATGGCACTCCAGAGATTTAACTATACTCTTGTTGGGATGCAACTAAAAAGTCCCTTATCCCTCTGAAGCTTAGTGCTCTCCTAGTGCTTCCAGTGCAAAGCTAGTGTCATCCGGCTTGCTGTGGTATACAGCTTGGTACTTGCAGTTCAGAATGTAGTCGCCTAGGTGCACTTTTGATTAAAGTGTCCACGGGCACCTTGAAGTGGGTTTGAATTGTTGATGTGTATCTGTGGTCAGGGTGTTCAGGCACTAATACGAGTATGTATATTAAGCTTTTCCACAAACAAAACAGGCAGCTGTTCTGGGTTCCCCACACCTTAAACAAAGTACCACTAATGCAGTGGAGATCATGTTGGTATATAATCGCCTTCTTAAGTTGATGTGATTGTCTTTATGCAGCTACTTATAGATGGGTACTGCCAGTGCCAATAGTGCAGATTGACCTTTGGGCTCTATTCTGTTACTGGTATCTTATCCTACATAGGGTGCTTATGCAATAGCTCGCCTTGAACTGCTGCTGTGACTAAATCAATCCATGGATTTCTGCTTGTGGGGGAAGAAATGTTCCACACTCCTTGGACTCATAGAAGAAGACTTAAAAGCCATCCACAGCTCAGTGTACAAAACTACAGTAGCTTATTTTCTCCTCCAGGAATGGCAGATCTCCTGCATGCCCCACCTTTGGCTATCTTCTTTCTTTAGTAGGAGATTCCAAGAATATATTTGCTATAGAGAGAAAATATTGACTCAGCCTAGTCATATTTGCAGAAAAGACCTGGTTTCTGAACACCTTTCACGTTCCTGGCATCCTTTTAAAGGAGATTTTGAGCCTGTCTTCGAAATGAATCTTGTAACATTTTGTTCTTTGTTTCTATTGATTGTTTCCCCCCACCATTTCATCAGAGTGATTGAACCAGAATGTTGCTCAGTTTGCAACTGTCTGCACACAATCCTTGTATTTGATTAATATGAGTTAATTAAAGGGAGTTTGGTGCATAAGCTACATCTTCTGCCTTTGGTTTTCCAATTCCATAGTATTTTCTAGCAATCGGGGTAACCTACCTGCTAATGAGGGAGCAGTAAACAGATTTGAATTTTTAAAGAATTGGTTTGTATACAAGTGTTTAGCATGATTGTCATGACCTAGACACATGACACATGACAGATGCATGACACAATAGCTACAGGAAGGTAAGTTTCTGTCAGCATGAACCAGCTGCCATGAATAGAGGTTGATACCACATATCCTCCTTCTGAGCTGGAGATTATCCCTTGTTAGATCTAAACCACCCAGCCCTCTGCAACCTATCAAACTCAGCATGTTGCAAAAGCAAACTAAGAATGTTCAGCTTCTACATACTAATTTCTACTTCATAGAAGGTGAAAGATGCTAATATACATACTGATATCTTAGTGTTTGACTAGCCCTGATTGCTATAGTACTAAGAAGTAAGAAATGCCTTTCTCTCAATCTGATGGACGCTGATATATACAGGCATGATCTTCCTTACAATACAGCATGCATGGTGCATATAGTCAGCTGACATTTACATCAGCTCTAACTTGAGTCCTGTCTTCTATAGGGAAACTCTCGTCCTTGAAATTCTACACTTTTTCTTCAGTTAAGGGTTAAAATTAACTTGAACTAAAAACCAACCATATTTGTTTTTTGGCAATGATAATAAGTTACTACCTATCTGAGGCAAGCAACAAGAAACTTTGGCAAGCTGTTCCAGGGTTTGGTTGCTTCCTTTTTCACGGCTGCTTCTAGAGGGCTTAGCTGTCTTTTTCGAGTGTCTGAAAACAGGGCCTAACACTCACTGTACTGGGTGAGTTGCTTAGTATCATTTTAGAAAGTAAAATAACTCATTCACAATCACTGTACAGTAGCCTTTGCCAACCTGGTGCCTTCCACATGTTCCCATAAGCCCTAGCCAACACAGCCAGGTTGGCAAAGGCAGCGTTAGAGGTTACCTGTGGCAGTAGATGCACCCAGGATATTTGCCTGTCATTGTAGCTGGTTCGAGATGGATGAAAGAGTAAAAGAGGATGAGCACGCAGGAAATAGACAACCACCTCTTAATTGTTTGCAAAGCTTATATTAACTGTTAAAGGAAAATTCTTGAATATCATTTTGCACCACGAAATAGCACTAGTCTGGTTAATGGATATTTCTAAACTTGAAAACAAAAAACATGAATTGCAGAGCTTAGCGTGATGTCTTACTCTTGCTGGATCAAAGTATGGTATTTCATTTCATTGTGCTTGCTAATTTTCAAGAAAGATTCTAGGTATGCATACATACACACACATGCTTCACCTCTGCAGATTGAGATGGCGTACACAGACACTGGAAATGAAACTCTGTGAGCCTCTGCATGCTTTTTGGGGTTTTGGAGGTTGGGGACTTGTTTCTGACTAAATGTAGGATTGCACTGTGAATAAACTTGTTCTAGGCTGTGTATGGGCTGCAGATGGGAACACGTATGCTTGATTACACCTCAACCCCCCTGCAATTTTTTTTTTAATTCCCTAATACCTAGTTTTCCATATAGAAAATAAGAGGGAATCCTTTTGTATGGAGGAGCATTCAATAATGTGAGCCCCCACCTGCAGCCTAAGCATGGGTATACCATGTCAGAAGCAATACTGGGTCATTGAACAATACCAGTGAACTAAGGGGTTTTGTCCACTGCAAGTTGCCTGAAATGTGAAAATGAGTCAATACACCCAGTTTATCTATTAAAGGGACAAGGGTTGTATCAGAACCTTGGCATGTAGATGAAACATCTGAATGACACCATATTAAATTCCAGCATCGATCATGTATACCATTGAACATTTTCTGTATCCAATTCTTGCACTTTATGGAGCTTTTGCAAGGAAACAATACAGTGCTGCTGTTCCTAGCCTCAAGAGAATGACTTTCATTTCATCACTGAGGGGATAGGGAGCAGATGGGCTGGAGGAATCCTGAATAAAAATGAAACTGGCCTGCTACCTTGAAGAGGAGGTTGTCATATGATTACAGTTTTAATATCTGGCTGGATATGGGTAAGTGAAAGAAAACCTCAGTCTTGTTTGCAGCTGCAATTTTCACTACACCCTCCTTTCTGCCATGTTTAGGGACAGAGTAGTCCTTTTTTTCTAGGTGTTTTCCCCCTCTCATTTGTGCCCACTTTGTTAAAGATCAAATTTATCTACCACAGTTAAATCTGTTATTCTTTATGGAGCCACAAGCCTCCTTTTTCTCCTCCAATGCATACGTATTCTCTTCAGGCAGCTAATCAAGATGAAATGCCAAAGAGCACATTAATCTTACACGTGCATGCAATGACAATTTAGACCAACATGCAAGTGCACAGTTTCCTCTGCTTTCAGACAGTAAAATGGTAGAACTGACTCTTCTCTGTCCATTAGGTGTTTGCACACACAACTGCATGCATAGAATTGCAAATACTGTGAGCTTTAAATAAATGAACTCTTTGTCTTGAATAAAACTGTTCAGGTTAAGGGCCTACCTGTATATATAATGAAACACATTTATGTCACAAAGATGAACAAATAAATGTCTTTCTGCCTTAACTCACCAGTTTTTTCCCCCTGCCTCTTGTTTTACACTAAATGGTTACTTGAACACTTTGCCATTTAATTCCTCTATTGTAAGAAATAGTTTGGTCTAGAAAGTGGATTATACTGTGAAATGGAAACGCAATGTCACACTTTTCACTAGCCCCCGTCAAATTGCTGTAGTGCAATAGCCTTTGGCTGTGTGGATGGAGATAGCATTTCTTTTTTATTCCTTGCCTGAAAACCAAAGTAGTGATAAAGGGTATGGTTTTGCCCTGATGCAAGGGGTTTGCAAATGATGGGCCGTGACTGCAGGAGATGTAGCCATGCTGGCATTCTTTTCCCAGGGCTATGCAAGCGTGGCTATGGTTTAATATGGGGTGGCCAACAGTTCTGAATGCAGGGGCTGCATTCCGTGGGGGAAAGGTGGTCAGAGGCCGCATAATGGCAGTAGGCAAGGCTGGAGCCAACGGATAGCCCACCCCTTTTTCCTCACAGCTTTTCTCCATTTCATCAACCATTCTTCCTCACATAAACCAACCCCTTCCATCCTTACACACAACAGACATGCTTCCATCCTCCATCCAGTCTCAAACACACATACACAAACCCTCTCATACCAACTATTCTTCCTCTCTTCCATTCTGTTTTTCTGTTCGTTTCTCTGTCGTTCATCATATTATTTTATCACTTAGTTGCTATTTTTGCCTCCCTCTCCATCTACTCTTCTTTCCCCTCACCTGTGCTATGCCCCTCCACCTCTGCATCCACAACCCCATCCAGGCACTCAAAAGTAAATGAAAGGCTTGCTGTATACAGCCTCCAAATCTCCCCCAGCACTTCCTCTTTGTAACTGTGATCCCGTGCTTCTCCACCTTGATCCTTCCCTGATCACAAGGGGGCCACAATAGGCAGGCATGCTAGCTGCTGTGTCTGGGGCTGACCCCCACATGCTTTTCTGTCTCCAGCAGCAGCAAGAGCCAATCTGGAGAGTGTAGGGCCTACAAGGGCACTCTGAAGGAGTGCCTTGGCCTCTGTGCCTTGACCAAATGTGTACAAATGCCTGCTTGAAGCTGTTTTGTTCAGTGGGGCTATGGTATTGGGGGGGGGCATCAAAAAAAGGTGGCGCTCACATCTGTCTTAAGGCAGCAAGGAAGTGCTCCGTCTCTTATTCATCCCCCTACCCCTACCCCCAAGACCTTCAAAGCAGCTTCAAATGTTGGAAGGGATGGCAAGGGACTGGTACATTTGCCCACAGGTGGCAGTCATGTTTTTTGATAGAGGCGTTTGGGGGTAAGAATTTTTTCCAAAAAAATTTAACAATATGACCAAAGAGAACATTTCAAAGACTGACTCCTCTATGTGCAATTCTGGTTATTTCACCAAACTACTTAATAGTCTACACTAAAATAAAGAGTCTTTATTTTAGCCTCTTTATAGGCAGCAAGAACTGTAATTGGAACACATCAAAAAGTTCTGCAGACTCCTCTGTGAAGCCTTGGGGTTCATCCACACTTCTGTTCGTGCCACACCTAGAAAGCTCAGGTCCAAGTGGCTTTCCCCTTGCCATGCTCGCTTTCAAGGGGAAACCAGCTCTTTAGCTTGGAACAAATGGCAATCGGGGGGGAAACCCAAATTGCTGTTTGCTCCAAGTGCTGAGGAGCGGGTTTTCACTAGGGGAAAGCAGCAGGGCAAGAGGAAGTGTGGATAAGCCCTGTGTTTCAAAGCGCCATTTATTAAAGGACAAACACCAAACCCATGAAGGTTCTTAGAGGTCATGTAAAAGGAAAAGGCTACTCATTTTAATGTGTGGTTATCATACCTCTTAGAGCTAAGCCTCCAAATAATTATAAGATTTTGCTGCCATGCTAAGAGAATAATTATAGTTTGAAGGCTGTACTTGATGTATCCTAACTTAATTGGTGATTTTTTAAAAAAAAAAAAGTTTGTGGACTATATTTAGCCCATGTTTACTGTAAAGGAAAATTCCACATTATAAGAATATTATTTTTAAAGTCTATAAAATGCAGTAGGCATTGAGCAGGGAGGGCTTTTTACCCATCAGTAGGAAGGAAGCTCTTCGGCATCTCAGGTAGGCACACCTGGCACAACTATACGGCCACACAATAGACCTATGTTTTGGGGTGAGGAGGGAAATAATTATTCCACTATAAGCTTTTTAAAAAACAAACAAACACAGGAGTTGGGGAATAACTCTTCTAACTGAAGAATCACGAAGGATTAATAGAATTATATTTTCATAACCAGCCAGAGTTCTAATGCTAAGGCTCCCTATTCTCGGCAAATTAGTTTTAGGATATAAGCTGACATTCAAAATACCATTGTCCCAGTGTTGCAAAAAAAGTATTTTGGATTGTGCTTGATTGCAATTCTAATCTGCAACCTTACAGCACTAATATTCAGTGCCCTGTCTGCAGTCTTAATATATTGCATTTTTATTTAATTATAATAATATATTGTAACATCAAAATTTGCAATATTTAAAACACAGCAAATTCACTGGTTCCCTCCATAAACCGGTGAAAACTACCTGTAAATAGGTTTCTTTCTCCCCCAAACCCTAAATGCTGAATTGTGTTGGACTCAAAATATTGTCCCTTATTATTGTACTGTAGCAATTCCTATGTCCCATGATTTGGTCCTGGTTTTCCAAATTTTTTGAGGAAATTGGGAGGGTTGGCACAATTGTAACTGATGTGCTGTATCAATCAAAACTAATCAAGGCATCCTTGCTTTACAAAACTGGCATCCATTGTTGTAAGATTGGCTTCATGGTTCCTTGACCTGCTGCAGAGACAGTAATTTCAGTATCCCTGTAACATTTGGGTCTTGCAAAAAGCTTTCATTCATAGGGAATGGAGGGATTTCCTTCTGGTGGCAGCTGTTCTTATCCTGGGGCCAGAGGAGTGTGCTCTGGAGGGCTTCCCAATGGGATGAGCTTCTCTGGCTGTTTGTGCTACCACTCAAAGGGGCAGTTGGGAAGGCCAGGTGTGCCAAGTGAAAACCACCCATGGTGCTTTGGGGCTCCAGATATTGGGAGAAAGATTAACCACCTTAATATATAGTCATTCTGAATTATAGCAACCTACTAGAACCAAAATAGCCTCAGAAACCAAGAGTACCCCTTAAATCCCAGCTCTTTGGCCTCACTGGTTTAAAATTAGTCAACACCAATTAATTGAGATGATCAGTCCTGTTGAATTAAAGCAATTGCCCTTGCTACTATCACAATTTTACAAGGGCAGCACAAACCATGCAGGTGTTCGTATTGCATTTAGAATAGCAATGATTTGGAATGGAAAATAGCTTGAATGTAATCTTAATTCAGTGCAAAGGAAAAAGTCAAACAGCTTTGAAGACAAGACAAAATAGCTGAGTACCATGGACAAGTCAAAGGGCGATACATGATTTTTGTATTTGCTTTTTCACCGTATTATTCATACCAACTTTTTTTTCACTCTTCTGCTTTACTTTTTTAATTACGTGGCTATAGGAGACTGCGTCCGTGCTGTCCTCTTCCTCAGTTCTCTTGACTGCCGTTGCTTCATGCTTTGAAGGAGGCTCCAGATGCAAATTGATTACATTGCCTTCGTCTGGTCTGAAGACCAAAAATGCATTTAAGGTTATACAGCTCAAGCTGTTAGGAGGATTGCCGTGGATTACTCTGGGCAGGCCAATCTCATTATATTTCAGGATGTCAGGTTCTGTCTGCCGTTGTGAGTACTTGATTTCATATTCCTTTATTGGCAAGCTCCTTTTTTCACCTAGGAATGTTTGGATAGAATCTAATTTCCCTCTCTTTCTGTCTCCCTCAGCATGGGCTGTCATCATTGGGACATAGTTGTATGGTTTGATGCACGAAACTTCAATCTTTTTGTTGCTTGAAACTGGTTCTCCTTCAGTAAATTTGCTGTCCGTTTTTTGTCTCTCTCTTGCCAACTGTGTTACCCAGGCCATGTTTTTCTTATTAGCAGGCACCATATTCTGGTGCGAGATGCTTGAGACTGTTTTGGTTACTCTTGGTTTCTTGGTCTCTTTTTGGATCTTACAGCATGTGAAAGGAGTAGCTCTCCCCCAGCCTTGTTCCTGGAAGGAAAGAAGGGAGGGGAAAAGATGGTGCCTTTAAATTCAGAGTCTTGCAGCCACACCAAAAACGTGAATCTTTCACTTTCACAAAAAACACTTAATATAATGAATTTCACCAAACCTCTATACAAAACTTGTAGTGAATTTTGGCCAAATTCTTCTTAAACTTTTCAATGTCATGTTAGGTAACTTTTCCATGCTCTCTAGGACTTGCATTTGAAAAATGAGAATTTTCCACTAAATGTTATATTGGATATGTCCTGCTGGTGATGATTTATTGAACCAAGTTAGTAATGAAATCCTATAAAAAGACCCAATGTCAGCCCTCTGGGGGCCACTTGCAAAAGTGGCGAAAGTGTAAAAGCAGGTTTAGTCCTTTTTTAAAAGGATACATCGGCGTGGGAGTCCCGGGAGAATCACCCAAAAATATTCTGGTATAACAGAATCACAGTAGGGTGTCCACAGAACTAGTCAAGTTTTTTTAAATGGATATAAATTCAGGAGGGTCTTGGGGTGCATTTGCGGGGGGTGGGGAGGAATCAAATGATTATTTGTATCTAAAGAAGGCTCTATATTTTTAAAGCTAAATGATTATTAAATTCTGCTGTAGTCTCACATTCTTTGTGATGTACATTATCCATGCTGTTATCCCCCTATTTTTCCACATTTGATATAATGGTGATTTAAAAAAAACACCCTCGTTTAAAAGAAAATCAATAGTATGATTTTTTTTTAAAAAAAAACCACAATTTTTTTAAAAAGAATGAAATCACAGCTAAATTCCACACTGTTATCATTGACAAAGTCCACAGAACTAAGAAAAAAACTGTTAAATATATATGCTATTTTAAAAGCTAGTTAGCAATACACACTTGTGTTAGTATGTAATGCTACACACATTTACTTACGTATGTAATCCTATATACACTTATTTTGGAGCATGTACCATTGAGTATTGGATTGCGGCATCTGTTCTCTTTGTGCAGGGCAGAAAAGGGGAGTTAAAACAAAGGGCATGACCCAACCAACGCTAAGAAACTTTTAAAGTCCCTACTTATTTTCAGTTAGCGTTCTGAACATGCTTAAATCTTTCCCACTGAAATCAGTGGAATATGCAGCCTGGCCCTGGACATACCTACCCAGAAGTGGGCCCCACTGTGTTCAAGGAGGGGAACTGGAGTCCAGCCGTCTCCGGAGGGCCACAGCCTTCCCCCCACACCACACCCTCGACTAAGTAATACAAAATTCATACTTTGTTCATTGTAATGCCAAATTGCTTTTTGAAGCTTTCCTAACTGCAGCATCAGGAAGCATGACTTGTAAGTACTATCAAGCATAGCTTTTCAGTTCACTAACTTGGTTTAGCTGGTAAGTAACAAGATCAATCATTTTAGATTCGCTGAAAAGTAGCTGCTATTTATTTTGGTTCACTCATCAATGGAATCATTAGAAAAGCAACTTCAAGTTTATTTATGCTCACAAAGAATTAAAATTTATTGACATTTTTATTCTGCTTGTAATTTTGAAAAAATGAAAACACATATTAATTGGTCCTTAAGTATGACATGTTATTTTCTGTAAAGCCATTATTTCACAAGGTACAAGTCTACATAGGTGAAGACTGACAACCATTTAACTACATATCTGTATTTTGTATGAGAGGTAAAACTTTCATCCACTTGGCCTAACAGGATCACACAGGTAACTGACTCAGCAAGTGGTTACAGCTATAGCATGGTTAAGCAACCACTTTGTAAATGACTGCTTGTATCCATCCATTATCCAAAACTTTGCTTAAGCCCTGTTTTGTTTTGTTTTAAACTGGAGCACAGAGTTTCACAATTCTTAGCAGTAAATGTGATGTGCAATGAGGGTAGCAGGAAGCCCTTCAACAGTGTTCAGTAAAACCAGCATTTCTACAGAAGTGGTAGTAGGAGCAAGAGGAAGGGTTAAGTCTAGCAGCCAACCCAAGAAAAGGCAGTTCAAATTAACAGTTTATAATGGTTCAAGCAATTTTGTCTCCTATAACGGGTGTGGTGAGGAATTGACACCATTTAATTGGTCATTCACCTCAAAAATCTTTGCCCTACACTTGTAGAAACAGGTGTGGTTTCTTAAATATATTGCATGTTTGTTACAACATTTCTGTCAGTCACTGTTTTAATCCCTTTTTTGTAGGCACTGATGAATCCTGAAAAAATGGTCATGCTATTGAACACTTTTGCTTTAAATAATTTCATGCCTGTTTTAAGAACAAGAAAGGAAGTTCATTTTTTCAACTAGCCTACTGTGTTCTTGCATGAGGTTTATGCACATGAATTCCTGATGAGAGCCTTTGCTACCATTACCAAAACCAAAAGGAAAAGGCCACTCAGCTCTCAGATTTTTTTTTTGCATAAGAACTCAAAATATTTAGTTCAAGGACTACGATCAGTTTATGTGCAAACTTGTTTGTTTGAAACTAAAAAGAATTTGGCAAGATTTTATAATAAAACTAATTGAACAAGTTTCTGTACAGTTGATCAAATATAAGTGGATTCCATGAATCATGGGTGAGTGACATTGGGACTCTTGCAATTGGATATCCAGAAATGTCATTACCTTCCTGCTACTCCAAATGCATCAGATAAGGTGTAGGATAATTATGGCAGATGTTGACAGGAAAATCTCTTGGATTGAAATACTGAGGAACATGCTGTCACTGTGCATACAGAAAAGTATTTTATTGAAGCTATCTAGATTATAAAGCAATGTGAGTTACCTAATTTTGCAGAGGGGGACAAGTCCTAGCTAACATAAACAAATCAAGAAGTATATACAGTCAATTCTAAACACACAAATATAACTAAATATTAACTTTGCTTCCTTAGTCTTATCTACACATTGTTTGAACATTAAACATAAAAGAAAACTTTAAAAATAAACTTTTTACAACATCTAAAAACAGCTAAGGCTTTGCACAAATTGGAGGGCGCTTGAAAATAGTACATCATTGTGGCAGAGACTATGCAGACAATTTTTGGTACTTTTCTAGGTTCCATATGGTGAAGCACTTGGTCTAGGCCTGTACAACTGTACAACTCATTGAGATAAATATAGCTCATGAGCAACTTAGTCTGGCCTGACAGATATTTGACAGCCTTCTATTGCCATCCTTGACAGAGAGCAAAAACAGGCATTGTGGCTATGTATGGCTCAATGACTTCCAAATTGTACGGGCTTAATTTAGGCAAAATCTGATCCCTTGCCCATCTGTTCTGAGTTTGGTGCAGTAGTTCAAGTATTCCTTGAGAATACAAACTACACAGGTCATGGTGCTTCTGTAGTGGTCCTTCCCAAGCAAAAGGACTAATAAGAACAAAACAGACCGAAGTAGCTTGCATTTACCATACATACAGTAGGGATTGGGAGTACTGAAACACTATGCCCAATTTTCTAAATAAGAACTAGCTAGGAGTACTTTTAAAGACAAAAAGTTTTCGGCCAACTGGGGGCATCATCCAGGCAATGCACATTAAGGCTCATCTCTGAGAGCCTGAGTCTACACTGTAGACTCTATTAGGTCAACTAAACATATTTAAGGATCTACTGAAACCATTATCATATTGTAAGAGGTAATCAATTGGTATTTTAATTTTGTACAGAAATGAGTGGCAGTCAACTCTATTCAAAATAGCACCTATGCAAATTAACAAATCTGCCCAGTCTGCTTTACAATGACTTTTCAGTATTTTTTCTCATTATACAGAGTGCTCCAAACAAATCCATGAATAGCCCAACAAGAAACTACAATTTAAAAAGTCAGGTCAGCCTAAAGGGCAATGCAGCTATTGCAACACGGCTGACCGTTAAGGAAGGGAATAGTCCAGAAAGCAGAGGGATCTCCTGTGTTTTTGACTCATTTCCTTGTTTGGTTCCAGTGTGACTCCTGCTTCTGGTGCAAGGGTCTTGCATCTCATTAGCTTTGTTGATTCGCGCTCCTTTTGTATGCAGAAAATGCATGCTGTTGAGATGATTGTGTCTTCGCAGTGCAATTGAATTAGACATGGTTGCCATTTTTGTATCTGGTGCAAATGCACAATGCCAGTAGCAACGATCTGGGTTTCTTGAGATGAATGAAGTCTTGGAAAGCCTTGAGTCAAAAGAGGCTATTTCATGCATTTTTATTTGCTCCTTCACTGCATTATACATTGTGTCTATTCTTTTTTCACTCTTTTGCTCTTTGGTTTTAAAAACCTGACCACAGCAACTTGTCTCGGAAATAGCATGGAATGATTTTTCACTTGCCTGGGAAGTAACAGTCTTGCTTTTCTTTGCTGAAGGATCCAGGGTGGTTTTGAGAGTTGCATCTTTCAGAGGTGGTAGTACTAATGATGGCTTAACAGTAGCAGTTTCAGTGCCAACATGATTACATATGGGAGGCTCGTAGCCTTTTGTGTCTTTGTATTTCACAGTTTCTAGAGTTTTGGGTTTTCCTGTAGTCAGTATACTATACTCCTTTATTGGCACTGTTCTCTTTTCTCCTTGGAAGAGAGGACTCTCTTTCATTAGAAAAAATCTCCTTTCACTTAAAGTAGCTTGAGCATCCTTTAAGGACACTTTTTTCTTTTCTCCTTGGGATGTCTGACCAGTATATATTTTGCCATAACAGTTTTCCTTTTTAGAGTCTTCTGTTGCTGAATAGTCTATGGTTGCACTCTGTAAAAGCAGAGTCTGTTGTTTTTCTGGAATACGATCTGTGGCAGCACATGTAATTAATTTGAAATCAGTTTTCAATGGTTCTGTACCCTTGGGGTCTTGTTCCAAACTTTTGTCAATAACTTGATTCAGATCTAAGCAGTAAAGGCATCCACTGACAGACTGGCATCCACTGACAGACTCGCTTGTCTTTGCTTTTCTAGCTTTCTTCTGTAGCTGAAGATAAGCAAATGGGGCTGTTTTGCCCCAGCCTTGGACCTGAGAGCAAAATGATGTGAATATAAGTTAGTATTTTAAGCAGCAGAGCAACTAGAGCAAAATGATGTGAATATAAGTTAGTATTTTAAGCAGCAGAGCAACTAGATTTACTGGTAATCTCTTGCTAATTTTAACTGTGGACCAATATGCAGGAAAAGATATTATCTGCTCAAAAAAAAGTGTAATTGAAATGAGGTTCCTAGACCATTTTAAAATAATGCCCCATTATCAAGAAAGTCAGATAAGACTGTTGAGCAAACCTTAAATGAGTCATAGTTTAGTACTAAACAAGAAGGTCCAGCACAAGTCAACTCCCGACTTTTGTTTCATACCAGTCTACTTAAATAACAAAGCTGTGCATATCATATTACGGCTAATTTTTATTCTCAAATGGGAGGACCAAAAGCTATTATTCATGTTCTTAATGCTTTCTTTAGAGCTCTTCACTAACACAGCATTCCTACCAATGGGACAGCAGAAGGCAGAGGATTTGAATAACTCAAAGACATTTTACTGGGCACATGGTAGCAAAACAAAGAGGTGGAAAGCGTGGTGCTCTTTTTTATTTGTCCTTTCTAAGTGCTTATCTTCTAAGTTTTTATTATTTCTTTCCTAATGTTTCCAGTAGAAAGGAAAATACATATGTCAGTTCCAAGGCTGACATTTATTTATCTCAATTTATTTATTGGGCGGGGTGGAGTCAGGGATATGGAAAGGATTTAGATCCACACCAACCCCTTTCTTTGCTCCAACCAACATTTGAACTCTGACATTGGTAAGACAAATGGCCACAGTGACTTCCAGTGGCTGGAAGAGGCCTTATGAGGTTCTCCACCCTCAACTTGGAGATTTGAAACATCCAGTGGCCCCCTGGCACACCCTCCTAGGGACAATGGGATTCTAGCCTCAGTACTGAATTTATTTTTTTAAGTAATAGAAAGTATAAAATATTTTATAGAAGAAAGGAAGAGACTTGCTTTTTTAAAAAGCAGACAATGGGCTAAAGCAATTATCTGTACTTCAATGCTCCACAGACACACTATACTATACTATACTATACTATACTATACTATACTATACTATACTATACTATACTATACTTCAGTGCACAACTGGAGGTGCTTTACCTCTAGAAAACACAAGTTGCTTTTCTCCAGAACAGCCCCATTGCCAGTAGTAGGAAGTCAGCTGTGAAGGCTGCGTAATCTCACCCTGGCACAACAAGTGTTCTGATCAATCCTTTCAGGGGTTTTTTAAAAAATAGTGAATATTATATCTACCATGAACTTCTCAGAGCACCTTACAGTAAACTCACAAGTTATTTTCAATTCAGTTTTAAGGACAAGTCCTCCTAAGGCAGTGTACCATCACATTTAAACCAGTATCATAAAACCACACCACAATTAATATAAACAAAAACAGAATAGAGCACATGAAACAAAAGCCAGCAACACCATCCCCAAAAAGTTGCACACAACAACCAAAAAAACTCTTTAAGGCCCATTTAAAACTCTGAAGCAGGAGGCCAATTAAGTTCTTATGGGAGGGAGATCCAAAGATGCAGGACTATCACTGAAAAGGCCCTGTACTTGGTGTCCAGAAATCTGATTGGTCTACCTGTAAAGACAGTCATAAATAGAAAGAACTTCACCCAAAGCAAAAAAAGTCTGAATAATCTGTGCCACGCAAAACACTGAAGCATGGTGGCATTGCTAGCATGGAGTCCTATGTACCATACAAGAGCCAAAATAGGTACCATCACAGCAGCCAGGCTGAGCTCTTGTAAACAAACCCTTAGGTTATGTTAGCTTTGCTTCTTGGAACAGTTATGGTTCTGAAAGCTGCCACCTACTACTCTGTCAGCATAAATGCCTTCCACAGTAACGTCTCCAGTGGTGCCTTATGAGCCCGAGGATTACAAGAGGGAAAGCTGGATCATGCACTCCTGACTATGTGAAAGTGTTCTTCAAGGACAGCTTTGCTGTTTGGTCAATAATTCCTGGTCTACTGGAGTAACGTAAACTACATCCTCATGCCCATGACAGACAACCACTGCAGAGTAGCCTACTGCCACATTCCTGATTATGACAAAACCAGACCACACTATGGCAAACTCCTTCAGAGATGATCCAGTCCAATTTTTTTGCTCTAAATCAGGATTCATTATCTCCTAACTAGAATCTTAGTTAATAGAACTGAATTTTTATTGTTTTGAAATTGTTATACTTGCTCTGCTACATTGTAAGCTGTTTTTAAAATGTATTTTGCCTCGAAAAGTAGGATATAAAACAGGCAAAGGACACCCAGAGAAGGGTCTCTGAAGAGAATCTCAGCATTCAGGCAGCTAGTTGTGGCTTCTCAGTTGTCTTCTAAGGCATCCCTTTCCATCTGAGTCTGGATAGGTCAGTTGATTAGAGCATGATAATGCCAAGGTTGCAGGTTCGATCCCCTTATGGGACAGCCGCATATTCCTGCTTTGTAAGGGGTTGGACTAGATGATCCTCAGGGTCCCTTCCAACACTACAATTCTATGATTCTATGAAGACATTGCATTAGCTTAACATAAGAGAGTCATCAAGAGGAGGGGTGAAAACTGGCATAGCAGCTGAAACTGGCAGAAAGTGCTTCATGCAACATCTCACTTGGGCATCCAGATATAAGAACAGATCTAAACAAATCTCCAAGCTCTGCACTTAATTATTCAAGGAAATGCAAAACCACCCAAAATAGACTCAACGTATCAAGCTAAACCACTTATAAACCAATTATAATCAGTACCTCCATCTTGTCTGGATTGAGCTTCAGTTAGTTAGCATGCATCCAGTTCATGCAACCCAGCCAGATCGACAGGGTATAAATAATAAATTTATTATTATTATTATTATTATTATTATTACTCATTTCAGACATCAGTTCATCTTATCCACCACCACTTCTGAATTTTACAAGAAAATGTCAGCAGCATACGGATTGCACCTTACTCCAGGATCCCAAAGGACCTCAGGATTTTCAAACAGAAGAGATTCTAAACAGCATAAGAGACAAAATAAATCCCTGCATAATACATTAGTGATAATCTCTCAGCACCACATTCTGAAAATGGCTCTCCACATAGGAACTGAAGCACAATGTCCCAGGAAATATACACCAGAATAATATCATAACTGATGGTAACAAAACCTGCTGAGAAATTTAGGAAAAATAGCAGGGTTGCAATCAGGGTTGTGATAATTACCTGCTAGATAACTTTTATTCACAAATGAGAAATTAGCAACCAATAGATGGAACAGCCTGCAGGTTAAGAGAAGGTACATATCTGCTTCCTTCGAGGTGGCTCGGATTGCTCCCTCTCACAAGAAAGCATCACTAGACCTTGCTGGTCATTCTCTTCCCCCAACACTTGCAAGGTTTTATAAACTAGGAAATGCAAAGCATGTATACAAGGAAAAGATGGACTCTGGATGAAGCCACTGGCATGATTGCAGCCCTAAAAATAAGTACCATGTGGACATAACCACAGGGCTTCTTAATTAGATACAGAAATCAGGACACAAAGCAGAGCTCAAAAAATGTAGTAAACATGAGCCTAAAAATAGAGTAACAATGGCATGGCAGTAGGAAGAAAAGCTTTGACATTTGCTTCACAATCCAAAATACAAGAAAACTGTAAAAGTAATTACACAATTAACTGCAGTCATATGAAGACTTACTTGGGCATAAGCCCCAGTAAATGCAGGCTGACTTCTTTCCATGCAAAGCGCCAGCTGCACATCTTTAAAATGACATATAATGGGAAAGTGTAGAGTACCCTGAGCAAAGAATTAAATTATTGCTACATATACTAACCTGAACCAAATCACAAATACTATCATTATAATAATTTCATCAAAAGCATTGTCTAATTTAAGGATTATCTTTTATGTAAATTTTGGAACCCAACACCACTGACTTTAGTCTGGACAGGGTGAAATTATTAATACCTATAATTTATTTTTATTAATTCCTTTGTAAATAGATCAACAAGATTCTTGCCATTCCTTAAAGATTAACACGTTTATCAAGGCATAGGTTTTTATGGATTAAAGCTTGGTCTATCTCCCAGATGTTTTTATCACGCTAAATGGACTTAACGTGTCACAAGAGTTTTGTTTTTAAATATTTTCTTTAAAATAATTTTATCCCACATTTGAGTATATAAACTTTCTAAGCAGCTAAGAAAGTTTAAGAACTACAATACAAACCATAAGAATGTCAACAAACGTACCCAGCAGCAAAGGAAGTGTTAAAACAATTAAAAATTCAGGAGAATACAGTTGTATCAACCTCATTCTAAAGGCTAAGAGTAGGTGCTAGTCAATTTGTCCCTGGAGAAAATCTTCCAAAACCAGGATACTACTATCTGATTGCCACCCACTTTCCTTCTGAAAGTGGAAGCACCCAAAGCAAGGCCCCTGATGAATGTCTTAAAAATCAAGCAGGTTCATATAAGAGCAGTCAAGCCTTCAGATACTCTGGTCCGAAGCTATATGAGACTTTATATGTTAAAACCTGTCACAACCAGTATCTTGGAAAATCCTTGGAACCAAATTAGAAGCCACAGAAAATTGGCAAGCTACATTCCAAGTGGCTTGTTCCAGTCAACAGTTTGGTTGCCATATTCTGAAGTAATTGAAGATAACAAATAGTTTCCAAAGGCCTCTCCAAGTCCACTAGAGTAGTCAGACTTGGATTTTCCGCAGCATATATGGACAAGGCAAATCTAACTCTGTCTAGGCAGGGCCATAGGTAGTATTGCAACTTAAGGTGAGGGAAGGTGCATGCATCCACAGCTGCAACATTTATATTGAAAAAATTCAGCAAGAGAGACCTGTATAACTAAAGACTTCTGCAACGGTATCACCTGATGGATTTGAAACCATGGATATAATTCTTATATTCATCAGAATGCACATTTGAACACAAGATGCTTCAACTGATACTACATTTGAACCAGCCCCTAGGAGACAAGTGGTGCCCATTTATAAACTACACTATATTATAGCAGATTCTTTTCAATGGATAATTTGTGACTGAGAGTATAAATGTTCACAACATAAAATTCTTACTCACAGCTTCCTCCCATCCTGTTCCATTAGTACAATCCAAGGACCTTTCCTCTTGTTCATTTATGCTGTTACTGATGCTTAGAAGGGTGTAAATCTGATTCCTCTCCCGCCTCTCATTTGGGTAGGTGCAGCGCAATTCTGTTTCCACAATTCTTGTATTTCCAGCGACTCTTTCAGACTCTATTTCATTTTGCTTCTGTTCAGAGGAAGTCATTACACTTGCTGACTCTGTAGGTTACACGCGCTCTGCCTGTGTTTTAAGGATTTTTTAAAACAAAATAATAATACTGCAGTTAGACAATTTATTTTATAATAGCATGAATGAAACAAAATTGGTATGTTTCTTTTTTTACTGATCAGTTATTGCTGGGTGATAACAAGTAATTTTACCTCTAAAATCCTTTAACAGAATACAAGGACATGCTTTTTTACCCCGTCTTACAGACGTCCTGCTGACTCAGGAACTGCATAGCAGCTCTGGATCACAGCACCTACATTATTTCTAGACTTGTATGATAAAGAAGGGATTGAATAAAATTTTGTTTTGAGATTGGAGCTATGATGGTAAGCATTCCTTATTCCTATCTCATCCCTTCTAGGAGCAGGTATTATACCTCTCTACCCAGGGCTAATTTCTCAACTCTGCAGCCAAGCTGAATGATGCCCAGGGAAAATCAATCCTGCCCAGCCTCCACTCCTGAAAAGTTTTCCAAATCTAAGTCAGGGGACACTCAGATTTCTTTTTGGAGCCCTTGGAATTCATCTAGCCAAGAGCCAAATATCCACTCGTTGTTCTCCAAGCCCCAAACCCACAAATTACTCAGTAGTGAAAACCAGGTGCCAGATTTAGACAAAAGCCTACCATAAGAAGCCACAGCAATAGATAAAGACAAATACCGTATTTTTTGCTCTATAAGACTCACTTTTTCCCTCCTAAAAAGTAAGGGGAAATGTGTGCGCGTCTTATGGAGCGAATGCAGGCTGCACAGCTATCCCAGAAGCCGCAACAGCAAGAGGGATTGCTGCTTTCACTGCGCAGCGATCCCTCTTGCTGTTCTGGCTTCTGAGATTCAGAATATTTTTTTTCTTTTTTCCTCCTCCAAAAACTAGGTGAATCTTGTGGTCTGGTGCGTCTTATAGAGCGAAAAATACGGTACTTTATTAAGAGACCACAAGACTAAAATAGAATCCTTTTCATACTAAAAAATACAATTTAAGAAACAAAAAAACTTTTGGGAATTCAGGTACAGACCAAAAAGAAGAGCATTAGCTTGCCTCACCCTACCACCAACCCCGTAGTCACAGATCCCACCAGCAAGCTACATCCAGGTCGTTGCAACACAATCCTTCATCTGAATGGGCCCCCCCAAAATAAATCAAAGGCTACTTTTTAATACCAAAAGCCTGGTTACAAGGCAGATTTTTGCCAATCACAGCCTAGGGCCTAGTTTTCCCAACAATAGATAATGTACATACTGGAAAACTATCCAGCTGCTACTACAAAGTTCATTTTTGCACCATTTCTACGACCTTGAGCAGGGGTCAGCAAGGCTTACCGGGCATGTGTCAGATCACTCCTGCGGAGATCCTCCGTGGGCCAGGCCGGTGCAATGCAAGAAATCATGTCTGTGCATGCCTGTGGCGCCAGAAATCACTTCTGCACATGCCAAGAGGCTGAAAATCACGCCTGCGCAGACGCTATTTTCGGCATCTGCGCATGCGCAGAAGCGATTTCCGGAGCCACGGAAGAGAGTCCCCGCACCGCGTCGGTTTAGCACAGCGCGCAGGGACTTGCCAAGTGGCCGGCTCGTGGGCCTGTTAAACAGCCTTTGTGGGCCGCTTCCGGCCCATGGGCCTTAGGTTGCCGACCTTGAGCAATCTGGCAGCAAGCTCTCCACACTGGTGGCACATTATACTAATTAACTGGGACCTTTCCCTCAGAAAGACTACACCCAGTAGCCCAAGATGCTTCAAATAGATCAAAGAAATGGGGATTTATTTACAGATATCATCCCTATACAGTGGTACCTCGGAAGTCAAACGGAATCTGTTCTGAAAGTCCGTTCAACTTCCAAAACGCTCAGAAACCAAGGCGTGGCTTCCGATTGGCTGCAGGAAGCTTCTGCAGCCAATCAGAAGCTGTGGAAGCCCCTTCGGATATTCGGGTTCCAAAGAACATTCACAAACCAGAACACTCACTTCCGTGTTTGCGGAGTTTGGGAGCCAAAACGTTCAACTCACAAGGCGTTTGGGATCCAAGCTACGACTGTATTACTTTGTCCCCATCTTCCAAAAAAATCCTGTGGTTTGGTATGGGTGTAAGTTGGGTGTGTGGATGTTAATGCTCCAGCCCACTGCCAAGACTGGACTAGCCACACAAACTGGCACAAGTTCCCCGAGTATCGCCCATCAGCTACATGTGCCCCTGAGGAACAGTCAGGTGGTCCACCCCTGCCTTAGAATGAAAGCAGACATCAGTTCTAAAGTGTGATGGAAACCTGTTTCCTAAAGTCCAGTGAAAAGACTGCACTGCTAGGCATTTGTCTTCAATGAAGAGAAGAGCATTAAAATTTTCACCACCTTACATAATGCTTGGGTCTGCAAAGTGTTTTATTAGTTTTGGGGATGTTTTGCCTGGATTGGACAGGGAGCAGGGTCTGAGCACTGACAGTTCTTATGTGAAATGGGTAGCTTGTGGTGCCCATGAGAGTTTCTTCCATTTCCAAATATACTCAGGCCCAAAAACGTTGAGTACCCTGCAGTATAATGAATTGCTGTCTTCACCCTTAGCTTCACCTGTCTTTCCCTACTTCCCCCTTACGTTCTTCCTTCCCATAATTTAATACCATTTCATATTCTTTTAGAAGACTATTCCTCCCTCAGTTACACTGTTGTTCAGAAAACAGGCTGTCAAGTGTTCTCACAGCAACCATGCCCATAGTTCAGCCCCTCATTTCAGAACATGCTGACATGTCCCAGTAACTGCAGGAGGGTGGAAGGCAGTGACTGTGCATGGTCAGGGGCACCCTTGTCTTAAAGCACCAGTTACCTATGGGAAGACATTGGGGCTGCTCAGGAGCACCCTTCTTTTTAAAAATCCCAGTTGTGTATGGCTAGCCCAGTGTTTCCCAAACTTGGATCTCCAGCTGTTTTTGGACTACAACTCCCACCATCCCTAGCTCGCAGAAACAGTGGTCAGGGATGATGGGGATTGTAGTTCAAAAACAGCTGGAGACCCGAATTTGGGAAACACTGGGCTAGCCCAACCTTTCTCAACCTTAGGTCCACAGATGTTGTACTACAACTCCCCTCATCCTTGCCCATTGGTCTTGCTGGCTAAGAATGCTGGGTGTTGTAGTCCAACAACATCTGTGGACCCAAGGTTGAGAAAGGTTGGGCTGGACCAGTGTTTTCCAAACTTGGGTCTCCAGCTGTTTTTGAACTACAATCCCCATCATCCCTGACCACTGGTCCTGCTAGCTAGGGATGCTGGGAGTTGTAGTCCAAAGACAGATGGTGACCTAAGTTTGGGAAACACTCGGGGCAGAGTAAGAGTTCCAGTTACTTTGTGGGAGCGCTCTGCACGCGCTCAGAGGTGCCTCGCCTCGCCTTGCTTTCCCTCACTGTCCCCGTGGCGTGGCTCCAGTGTCGGCCCGGGTCCTCCGCCCGTTCCCCTCCTCTGGCCCCCTCGGACTCACCCCATAATAAGGCCTCCTTTTGGCGTTCCTCGTGCCCCTTCCTCCTCCCCCCGCAAGTCTTGTGACCCGCCTCAGCCTCCTCCTCCGCCGCCTGCCAGTCCCCCACGCGGGACCCAGAGAGGGAAGGAGGGGAACACGGCGACGAGGGCACACCGACGGACGGACCAGGGGGTTGAGCGGCGGCGCTGGCGCTGCTCTTGGAGGTGGGTGGGGCCTCCGCTGCGCTCACAGTCCCCTCGCCGCCCCGCGCCTCTGTCGCCGTCACCGCCCGCCCGCTCCCGCCTCAAAGCCGTTGCCCCGGGTGACGGGAGCGGTCGTTGTGAGGGAGGGGAGGAAGGCGCGGCGCGAGGGAGGGAAAGGGGCGGGGCCAAGGGGAGGCGGCGATTGTTTAGGAAGCCAGGCCTGAGGGGGAGAAGCAGCGAACAAGGGCGGGGCGAGAGGGGCTCTTTACCAGTATTATCCCTTGCATTTATATCCCATTTTTTCCTCCATGGGATTCAAGGTGGACCACACGGTTCGCTCTCATTTAATCCTCACAACAGCCTTGCGAGGTGGGTTGGGCTGGTTACTGGCCCGAGCAAAGTCACCCAGCGTGTGATTTCCGTGTGGCCGAGTTGGGATTTTGGACACCAGTCTCCCTACTATCATGTTATCCTATCATGTTATCCTACATGATAACAGACCGTTACACCACACTGGCTCTCAGCATCAGCATCATCCCATAAGCTCTGCAAGTTGAAAGCTAGCACATCAAGAAATGAGCCAAAATAGAACATTAAGATAAAGAGTCCCTCCATCATCATGATCTTGGCCATAGCTGTCAACCTTCCCTTTTTTTGCAGGAAATTCCCTTATTCCAGTGTCGTTTCCCGCTGCTTCCCGCTGCTATCCCGGATTGTTAGATATCCCGTAGACTGTCCCCGGTACAGGTGAGACTGCTGATCCCTTATTTTCGAGGCTGCTAATCCCTTATTTTCAAATCTGAAAGTTGACAGCTATGATCTTGGCCAGACTCTGCGTGTAACACTACTAGACCAATGGTCCTTCTTGGTCGAGAGTTGTTGGGAGAGGGAGCTTTGCAGCAGCCAGAGGGAAAGGAGAGCTTAGCCCTTCCCCTGGCAACTGTTCACCCCATAAAACTGCCCCTCCCTGCTCCGCATCAGAAGTCTGAACATGTGCTTCCATCGCAAACACAGATGGGACAGGCCACACATGCAACAAAATTCAGCTTCAAAAATGTATTGCTACTAGCAGCGAGGGTCAAGAGAGTCACTTCTTTAGCAATTTTCCGCTATGTCGAGATAATTCGTCACCTGGGAGTAAACATGTCAGTTCAGCTTCCTATGTGGCTGACTCATACAGTGAGCACAGTGCACTCAGAAGAAATCAGAAAAGTGTGTTATGAGGTGTACGTTTGAATCCACATCATGTCTATGAAGCCAGCAATACCCTACTGAGAGAAATGAAGCCTTTTGCGTGAAGTCAGGACATGTGTCTTTTTAAAATGCATATATATCTTTCACCCATATACTCAGCTAAGAACTTGTCACACCAGGAAGTATAAACATATTAGTTTATTACACAGAAACAAAAGACAGTGGGTATATGGGTATTGCTTTGGACAGCAAGTTTTACAGTTATGCAGGCGGCCAATATGATTCATAGTCACACACCTTAGTCTTAAAAAGAGTTCCCAGCTATCCAAAAACCTGGAGTGTGAGAAACAGATTCACACTAAAGAGAAATTAAAGAAATTAAAATAAGAGTTGGAAGTATAACTGATCTTATGAGCAAGTGTAGTGCAAAGTCAAGAATTTGATATCTGTGCCTTCTGACAGGCCACATTCACACCATACATTTAAAGCAGTGATATAACTTTAAACAGTCATGGCTTCCCACAAATAATTCTGGGAGCTGCAGTTTGTTAAGGGTCCTAAGAATTGTTAGGAGACCCCTATTTCCCACGCACAGCTATGATCCCCAGTGTATCCTATGGGAAAATAAATAATGAATAATAATTTTATTATTTATACCCCACCCATCTGGCTGGGTTTCCCCAGGCACTCTGGGCGGCTTATAGAAGAAGAAGAGTTTGGATTTGATTTCCTGCTTTATCACTACCCTAAGGAGTCTCAAAGAGACTCACAATCTCTTTTCCCTCCCTTCCCCAAAACAAACACTCTTTGAGGCAAGCGAAGCTGAGAGACTTCAGAGAAGTGTGATTGGCCCAAGGTCAACCAGCAGCTGCATGTGGAGGAGCGGGGACGTGAACCCGGTTTACCAGATTACGTCTACTGCTCTTAACCACTACACTGCATATATTAGATATACAGTGGTACCTCGGGTCACATACACTTCAGGTTACATACGCTTCAGGTTACAGACTCCGCTAACCCAGAAATAGTACCTCGGGTTAAAAACTTTGCTTCAGGATGAGAACAGAAATCATGCAGCAGCGGCGCGGAAGCAGCGGGAGGTCCCATTAGCTAAAGTGGTGCTTCAGGTTAAGAACAGCTTCAGGTTAAGAACGGACCTCCAGAACGAATTATGCACGTAACCAGAGGTACCACTGCATATCTAAAAATAATAAAAGCATCAAGCATTGAAAACCTCCCAATACAGGGCTGCCTTCAGATGTCTTCTAAAAGCTGTGTAATTCTTTATCTCCTTTACATCTGAAGGGAGGGCATTCTACAGGGAGGGTGCCAACGAAAAGGCCCTCTGCCTGGTTCCCTGTAACTTTGCCTCTTGCAGTGAGGGAACCAGCAGACGGCCCTTGGAGGAGGACCTCAGCGTCTCGGCTGAGCGATGGGGGTGGAGATGCTCCTTCAGGTATACTGGTGCCGAGACCATTTAGAAAAAGCCACGACTGTTTTAAGTCATACTTTAAATGTATGGTGTGAAGTCACCTTGGGCTCTTCCTCAGAATCCTATGCCAGCAAGGAAACAAATCTCTCACCTGTTCCTTTGGTCTGCAGTCAAGTAAAGGTAAGTAGCAAAGCAAGAGTGGTTGGAGCTGTTTGCTTGGGGTTTAAGTATACTTCGATCAAACCTAACTCCTATGGGAAGGGAAGGGGCTTACCTAGTGAGTGAGTAACAGAACACCAAAACCTTTGAACTGTTGTTTGTACATATCTTCTGGTTTACTACTACCTTCCTGAGACACAAGTTTGAAATGAAGAGGACACAACCTTTATCTTTACAGTTCCTGGATCATAAATTTAATCTTAAAAGAGATAATTGTCTGTATGAAATCTGGTTCCTGCTTATAGAAGGTTTATAACTAGATATTTATGGCATATACAGTGGTACCTCGCAAGACGAATGCCTCGGAAGACGAAAAACTCGCAAGACGAAAGAGTTTTTCGTTTTTTGAGTTGCTTCGCAAGACGAATTTCCCTATGGGCTTGCTTCGCAAGACGAAAAACGAAAAAACGAAAACGACTTGCAAGTTTGTTTCCTTTTTCTTAAAACCGTTAATACCCAGGGTGACTTCGAGGAGCAACTCATAGCACACGGTGTGGTAGCCTTTTTTGAGGTTTTTGAAGACTTTGGTGATTTTGAAGACTTTGGGAAACCGTGCTTCGCAAGACAAAAAAACTCGCAAGACGAAAAAACTCGCAGAACGAATTAATTTCGTCTTGCGAGGCACCACTGTACAAAGTTAGGTTCATATTGTTACAAAGTTTAAGGTAAGAATTCACATACCAGTAACTTGTTACTGTAATAAGAGTCCATGAGCATGTTTTATTTTTATAAGAGGTTTGAAAATTCAGAAAGAAAATTGTCCTTTGTCCTTTGAACGTCTTACCAAAAATGGAGTGATCTATTCATGATCACAAAACTGGCTTACAATTTAGAAGTGTCTGGTCAATAAAGGTGCTAAACATGTTTCTGTGACGGAGAGTGACAACCATATATTCCCAGTGCTCAGTCCTTCAGTTTTTCAAATATTTTCTTTTCTGCTATGAACTTTTATAAATGGTTATGAACAGGTGTGTTCTGCAATAAGGTCATTTCAGTGAACATTAACATGACTGTTATTTACACAGCAGAAAGGGTGTTTCTTGTTTTAATCAAAGCAGTGTGACATAATAAAAAGTGAAGTGAGACCATTTAAACCTCCTTGGCTCATCTGTAGATTTTTCTTTTTTAAATCCTGCATGTCTGTCTAAGCAGGAACAAGCCCTAGAGGAAAATGATAATCACCACACTAAGGGCATGAACACATGACTGCAGTGAAGAAACAGAGTGACTCAGGAAACTCTGAAAGAAGTGCCTTCATATTCCCCTGAGCTAAAGATACGTATTATCAAAACAAAGAATGTATTGTAGTCGTTTATTATTTATTTATTTATCATTTTTATAGTATGCCCTTCATCCAAAGGTTGCAGGGTGGAAATGCATACAATTGAAACCAGAAGTTAAACAATAATATTTTAAAAAGCCAACATAAATTATGTGTAAACAAAACAGCAGCAGCAATTTTAAAAAATCTAGTCCAGTGTACTTCACCCTTCCCCAAAAGCCTGAACAAAGAGATGCATCTTCACCCAACAAAAAAGCAAGAGCAATGTCATGGTGAGATGCAGTTCAGAAGAGAGGTCATTCCAGAGGCAGGGAGCCAGCACTAAGAAAGCACACTTAGTCCCCACCCCATGGATCTCACTGGGTGAGGAGATCACTACCAGGGCTTCCACTAGAGATATTTGTGCACAGGCAGGGTGATACGTTCTTTCAGAAACTTGGGATTTAAGTTTGTCACAACCCTTGAATCCAGCAGCAATCCAGACACAAGAGTCAGAGGCTGCTGAGGCATCAGATGAGGAGACCAACCAAGTTGAAGGCTCTGACTGGAGGTCAGGAGACCACTGCACCAAGGAGGTCAGATAGGAGCCTTCAGAAGAATATCCAGGACCATCAGAGACACTAGATGTTGAGGCAGGATTCTGGCAGGCACCTTCCCTTCAGCCTGGGGAACCAAATGGCTCCCACAGTACCTCAGTGCTCCAGCAGGACAGGGTGCTCACAAGGCAGAAGGTGATGGAAGGGTGGAGAAGGGCAGATTAGAGGGCTGGTCCTTTAAGACTCTGAAGCCTCTAAAAGTGGGCAAAAAGGTAGTCTGGAGGCAGAGGCTTAGAAGGCCCCAGTGTGTTCTTGGCTTTTGTCAGAAGTTCAGAACAAGTCACCGACTCGGGTCTATCAGTGGTCCTGCAACCTGCCTTGCTCCATGGGAGTGGGTGTCAGACCAAAACACAACAAATGTAATCTACTGCAGACTGCTTTCTTTGCTACACTAATGTTTGTCTCACAAATAAACTATGCTTTCTACCCACCCACCCACCCCACACCAAAAAAAATCCATTTTCTACATGAGGGCCCTAGCTCCATGTGCCTACATGAAGTGAGCAGGGACAGAGAGCAGGGACTTCACTGCCATTGAAGTTATAAAATCACTACGCCAAAGTCCGAAGTCACACAGTTCTTGTGATTGTCTTTCAGAAAGGCCATGAAACCCAGCTCTTTCCCAAAAGTCTCTGACAAAGTGGGCATTTCTGATTCTGCAAGAGCACTGCTACAGAATGCACCGCTTTTGGCTGTTGCCATTTATGTAATTTTAAATTGCGTTTTGTTAATATTTAAAAGCTGCTTCTTTTCTACATATATTGCAATTCCTCTTCTGACATAAACACTAACATTAGAGTTTAGTGGTTTACACAAGATAGCAGCTTTGTAAATGATCTGAAATTCATTAAAAATTGACCATGTTTCTCAATGTTTGAATAAGGATAACCAATTGTTTACAAAAACCTAATTAGTTTAATTAAGTATTGTATTGATGTTTGGCACCTTAGGATGCAAAATCCTTTGCCAGATAATGGATTCCACACTTTCAGCAAGCATGCCTTGCTTAGAATGAGAAGTCCCCAAGGAACACTGCTCTTTCTGCCAAAGTATGTGGACATAAAAGAGTTTTCAGACATAAACCGTTGGCTATTCTTTATCTGAGGATGCATAATTTTACATGAGCTATCACAGGCATCTAATAATCCTAAGAACCTATGATTTATTTGTACATGGTGTGCAAATTGCTCTCCTGAGCGCTGAAAGGATGACCCTTTTTACAAAAAGTGCAGAAATTTTCCAGATAGCTTCTCCACAAGCAGCTTAATAACCACCATATCAGAGAGTTAGATACCATCACCTGCTGAATAAAGAGCAGTTCAACTCTACCATGGTTAAAAGGCCCAAGGTGTGATGCGGGATAATATAGGTTGTATAGACTCCCCTTTGATCAAACCACACAAGCTGTACTTTAAACAAATGTTTGTTTTATTAACAGAATATATAGAATATCTAGAACATGAAATTGTATTAAAATAAACAAAAAAAAGTTACTTCTCACATGGATCAGCCTAAAATCATCAATCTTTCCTTCTTCCCTCTGGCAGATGACCAGCATAAACTTCAGGCAATTGAAGACTCTGAACACAGGACTCGGCTAACCCTTTATAATAGTTTTTTGTGCAGTGCCAAAATTTGACACTCCATCCCAAAGCATATTTGTGGCGTTCCCAAGGCTCCACACCCAGTGCCACAAAACTGATCATGCACCCCTAAATCTGCCTCTGATACGTGCATTTAGATCAGAAATGGCGGATAAGAAACCTACTTAGTGATATTTTGGTTTGTTGTTATTTGCACTAGTATAGAAGATAATATGGAATGCCTTTGTTGTCACGTCTCTTTCTTCCATAATTATTGCTGCTCTAGCCACCTCCAGAGTCCACTACCTGAATCCTGTTTAAATTTTTTTTGTTAGATTAAGGGTTCAGGTGGAAACGACAACAATCTTAACCCAGAGATACATCAAAATGGCAGTGATGCGTGGTCTTTCCTATGCTTAGTCAAGCACAAGTCACGTAGTTGCTCCCATTCACTGTAATACAGGATTAGTTTCTCCGTTATTTATCCAATTTCCATAAATCTCCTTCACAAATCAAAACACGGAGGCTGCATTATATTTAACCGAGGAATATTGAACGGGTGACAAAATTCCTTCTGCTCCCATTGAACTAGCATTATTTTCCTCCCCTGATCTTCCTTATTAAAACCATAATTAACTTTCTTTCAAGAAAATGGAACCAATCAAGCTCATTCGGCGCCTAATGAGTACCTTTTGTTCTTGACCGTGACTGAGCAGCTCTGCACTCCCGAGCGCGGCCGATTTATTGAAAAATGCATTACATGGGATTAAACTGGATTTCCTCCTTTTTAAATCTACGCTGCCAGATCCGGCGCGCAAGCCAGCTGCATCTCCTCTCCACCGCGGACTTAGGTTTCCCAGGGAGCCTTGATTCTGCTATTCCGGTAACAGACTGGAGCGGGGAGGGAGGGAGCCTTCTCCGGGGGAATCCCTCCCGCCGCCCCCTCCCTTTGCTTTGGGATCAAGTACTTAAGGACACGGCAGCGGGGTGGTGAGGGGGAAGAAGAGGAAGGAAGGCGGGTGGCACAATCGTCACAGTTTGCGGGGGGGGGGCGGGTTGATCGTGAGCCGAGATGACAAGGAGGGAGGTGGCGGGGGCAGAGGAGCGAGCAGGCGAGGCGGAGATGAAGGGGCGGAGAGCGGAGCGGTGATGAATTGGAAAGATGACACGAGGCCCGGGATGCGTATATTTTGCTGCGGCGGCGGCGGCTGCATGACTCCACGACGTCAGCCGCAGCCCGGGAGCCGCGGCGCGTCACGGTGGTCTCCCCCTCCATCGTGCCGGGGTCTGCGGGAGTAGGGCTGCCACCGCCAGACGCGGAGCTCAGCGGGCAACTCACGGTCGCAGCAGCGACGTGCGCGCTCGGTTGTTCCCGCGGCCGCGAACGAGAGGAACGTCTTCCCAGCACCCAGAGAGAGGAGAGGCGCCGCGCCGCGAGGGGCTCCGAGCTGGATCGTGACCCGTCGCGTCTGCAAGCCGGCCAAGGTGAGCCCCGCAGCCCAGCCCCGAGGTAGCGGGAAAGGTGCCCAGGCGCGCCATGGCGCCGCCGGAGAGCCGGCTGTAGCCGCCGCCGCCGCCGGCTTGGTGAAGGGAGGCTCCTGCCCGACGGCCCCCTCCGAGGAGAGCGCCCCGCCACAGCCGCCGCCATGGACAAGGCCGGCTCCGTACACGCGTCGGTGCCCACGCCGCCGCCGCGCCTCTACCTCCCGCGCAACTTCAGCTGCAGCGCCTGCCTCTACGGCAGCCTAGCCGACCAGTGCAAGGGCGGCTGCAGCCCGGAGCCCGAGCCCGTCGAGGGGCCGCTGTCGCTGTCGGCGTCTCCGCCGCCCTGCTCCTCGCCGCCGCCGCCCTCCCCGCCGGTGACCCCAGAGGCGGCGGCGGCGGCGGCTGTCGCCCCCCCCCCGAAGCCGCCCCCGCTGCCCGCCCCTCGCTCCCCGTCGCCGCCGACCTCTCCTCCGCCCGCGTCGCCCTCTTCCCGCGGCCGGGAGCCCACGCTGCCGTCGGTGCCTCCCAGCCCGACCCTCCGGCGCCGGGCCAAGTCTCTGCCCACGCCGGGCGAGCGGGGCTTACGGCCGGCGCTGCAGCAGAGCCCGTCCCGCCGCAAGACGGTGCGCTTCGCCGACTCGCTGGGCTTGGAGCTGATCGCCGTGCGCCACTTCTGCCAGGCCGACGTGCCGCGGGTGCCGCCGGCGCCGCTGGCCGCCTCGCCTTCCCGCTGCCGCCGCCGCGCGCCGCCGACCTGCTCAAGACGCGCAAGCCGCCGTCGCTGGGCGAGCTGGAGCCGGTGCTCTTCGGGCCGCCGGCGCCCGTGCTGGAGCCGCTCTTCCCGCCGCAGCCGGGCGCCAGCGCGGGCTTCGCCGAGCGCGTCCGGCAGCACAAGGTGAGGCTGGAGTGGGTGCGCCCCGAGGCGTCGGGGCTGCGCGGCGCCGTGCGCGTCCTCAACGTGGCCTACGAGAAGCAAGTCTCGGTGCGCTACACGCTCAACCGCTGGGCCAGCTGCAACGAGGTGCCCGCCGCCTACCTGCCGCCGCCGCCCAACGGCCACAGCGACCGCTTCGCCTTCCACCTGCCCGTGGGCGCGGGCACCACGCTGCTGGAGTTCGCCGTGCGCTACCGCGTGGCCGACGCCGAGTACTGGGACAACAACGACGGCCACAACTACCGGCTGCGCGCCAGGCAGAGGCCGGCGGCCGCCTCGGGCCACGAGCCGGGCGCCGGCGCCTGGATCCACTTCATCTGAGGACGGAGGCGCGCCGGCCGCCCCGCCGAGGTTCTCCGACGGCTCGAGGGGCCTCCTCTCCACCTTGGCGGAGAGCAGCAGGCTCCTTTCCCTCAACGGATATGGCGACACCCAGGAGAGTTTCTTTTAGGATAAGGCGCATGGTCGGACTGTGAGGACCGAGGAGGAAAGTGATCCGTCGTTAAAGGCAGAGCCGTGGGGTGGCTCTTCTCTGTTATGCTCATCTTTCTTTATGGCCAGTGGATGTGGAAAACAAGAGTCCAAAAGTCCCCTTTCCAAATTAACCTCCATTGGATTGCAATAGGTAATAGCTTTGTTTGTTTGTGGCTCACTTTATCCATCTCCAACCACCTTTGAGTTGCCCTCCAACCAGCCTTGATCAAATCTCTCTTGGCAAGGAGGCTTGCAGTTCTAATTAGATATTTAACGGGAGGTAAGCACCATGACAACTCCAGCTTAGTACTCACGCAGAGCAATCTCTGGGTATAGTAACACCTAGTACTGCAATGAAGGCAGGCATGATGGAATGCTCCTGTTTTGAAAATAAGAAATCCCTCCACCATGAAAATTGGCCTGTCAGAGAGAAGGTTATGATACAACCCCCTCCCACATGCTAGTTTTCTGTGTGTAGGGATTTTAAAAAGACACTCCCATCATATGAGACATTCCTGCAGTTTGAGGCTGTCCAGCCCAGACATAGGTTAGCTTCCTCAGTGAGGAGTACAGTAGGTGACATACATTATACCATAAACAGAGCTTTCACTGTAGAAACTCACTCGCTGCATTTTGCTTAAGTGTAGAATCTTCTCCCATATCTGGAACAGGGAGAACCAGCCTGCAACTTGCAGCAAGAGCTGGCTGTGCACAGTGCTGATTGGCTGAAAGCTAAGTGACATCACTAGCCCACATTTCCCCTTTTCGCTGAAATAGGTTTTCAGCAAGAAAAAGAAACAAATCTGCTCCTCTTTTTAAAAAGAGGAAAGAGGGAGTGAATATACGTTTAAGCTAATCAATGTGCAAGCAGTATCTTTCAAAAGATGGCAGATAGCCTGCCTCAAGCAGTGAGAAAGGGCAATGCAGATTATTGAATCAGTACAATTGATTTGTCTGTATCTCAAATGGGGGAGGAGAGGCTGAGCCAGGCTCAAGCTGCTGGGGGGGTTGTGGAACACACATGATCTGCACGTCCACTTGTATCGCCTAGTGAAATGTGTTTAGGTCTGGGTGGTTTCAGTTCACCATGATGTGAGAAGAATCTGCACAGAAACCCCAGTCTGTAGGGATGTGGTCTGTTCATCGCTAGAATTCAGCAGACCACAGCGCTGCTCTCGCAGTTCCACTGAGGGTTTTGTATGTGTCTGCTTTTGAGAGGTTATCCAGTCAGGTTTCTTTCCAGAACAGGGAAGACCACCTGACTTACTCAAGCCCCACAGCCTTCTCTTCCTCAAGCTGGTCTGGACCACGAGACCTTGTCTCCTGTTCTCATGCGGGTACCTTCTCCTCTGCCGTTCTTCACTTGCTGTGTCTTGAATTGTAAGATGTTCCCTTATTTATATACACCATCAGATGATATTTTCAAAATTGTGTGTTTCCAGGTTAAATACAGATGGTTTATATTTTATATTTTGAGAAATATATTGGGGGGAGGGGAGGAGCTGTTTCAAGCTTCCGTCAGAGGAACAACTTGCAGGCAAAGTACGGGAAAATAGTGTTGTAATAACTTGCAAGGGCAACAATTTCTTACACTGTAAGCTTCCTCCTTTTTTCTCAGTTGTTATGAAACAGCTGCTTGTAGTATAACAAACTAGGATATTACACCAGACTGTAACAGAGTGGCAAGCTGTGTAAACCAGTGGCTTGATATTATTTTTGACTAGGTATTTGGGGCAGAACTGGAAAACTATTTCCAATTCCTAAGCGTGTTGCCATTTTTAGGTGCTAGAGTCAAATTTTGAGGCACTGGCACTGCAGATGGCTGAATAATTATTTCAAATTTCTAAGTGCTTAGGCTACCTGAGATTGTCCCAATTGTGACTGAAAAAGCAAACAACTGTTCTGCATCAGAAAGGATATGACAACCAAGGGAAATGGTGAAAAAAGCATACAGCCTAACCTGCTTTTTGGCTGTACTTGCAACCTGGGCCTGTGTATATGTGTTCTGATGCAAAGGCATTGAGGCTTGCTCTCAAGTCAGTGTGCATGCAGACTTAGGCCAAGAATTTGAAAATGAAAGCACGTGTGCTCTAACAGTTGTTCTGCTGATTCCAAATGACTAGAGATTCGTGTACAAATCCTGTACCCAGCTGATGGTGGTATGGCTTCCTCTTAGCTTGAACACTTGTCCACAGGAATCTGATGCTGGCACTCTGGGAATTGAATATTTTCCTGAGCTCTCTCAGGAGTGGCACCTAACAGTTTGGGTAACTGCTTACGATTTTGAAATATTTTTTCCAGCCTTGCTTTCCGGATCAGCCTATTAAAAGTCCACTGAAACTTAGGTGTTCGCTTTGCGTGTGCATCAGTCTTTGGCTTCATCAAAATGTGCACTCTTGGTCAGCAACTGGTTTTCCTGTAAAGATGTATTTGAGTTATTCTGTCACTGCTGAAGCTTCTGTATGCGTGAACCACTATTATCATGAAATGCATGCAGTATAGCCATGTTTAAGTTGGGTGGGAAACAATGGCTGTGTCCACACATAACACTAAACCATGATTTAGTGCTACATGGATATGAGTCTCTATGTGCCAGAGTGAAGCATCATGCTTATGCACTCTTCCACCCCTGCAGTTGGAAGGAGCAGTTCTATCAAGTTTAGATTTGCTTTAAAAAACAAAACAGAACAAAACAAAATATTGGCTTAGCTTTATGTAGCAACCAAGGATATTGGTCATGAAACTTGCTTGTTTAACTTACTATAATTTGTTGTAAATGGGCTAGTCACACTTCTTTGAAGTCTCTCAGCCCCACTCACCTCACAGAGTGTTTGCTGTGGGGGAGGAAGGGAAAGGAGAATGTTAGCCACTTTGAGACTCCTTCAGGTAGTGATAAAGCGGGATATCAAATCCAAACTCCTCCTCCTCCTCTTCTTCTTCTTCTTCTTCTTCTTGTTGTAAAGCAGGGTCCCTGGTTTGTACATAACACTGAACTGAGTTTCTGTGGAGGCAAAACAAAACTCAGCAAAAGTCCTCCCACCTGTGTGGGAGAAGAAGAGACGTGGTGGAAGAATAGGATGAGGACAAAATCCAATTCCTTTCTCATTTCAAGGTGAACATACCTCATCTGTACTTTCCACAACAATCTCTGCGAACCAAAATGCAGCCATCCTTTGAAATTCACACTTCAATGAATTTTGCAGAACAGTTCCCCAGACAAGTAATGTGAACAAAAATGCACATACTAGGGGAAAGTGCATCTGTTAATGAAAATAACATAGAATGTATTATAGCAGGAGATTGAAAGAAAGCACTGTCAACATACTTGCTCATCCCTAGGGGAGAGTGCACAAATCCATCATTTCACTCAGGCTCATGACGTTTCTTCCACATAGTGCTATAGCCATGTTTATGTGTTACTTGTGAACTGGATAGGGGGGTATAACACTCAAACCACAGGTCCGAGTTATGTGGATACATGAAAAAAAAGTCTTGGCATTTGGAAAACAGTGTGAAAAGGAATTGAATGAGAATTTTCTTTAGGCAAGGGCTTTCCCATCAGATGCCATCTAGCTGTACCCTATTCCCCTCTAGAAATTAGAATCAGAATCTTTCTGTTTGTTTTTAGTTATGTGTGGAAGGACACATAGAAGAAATACTGTGTTGAATTTTCATTCCGCCCCCTCATTACAGTGCAGAGGTGGTGCAGATGTTTCTTTTATGAAAACCCTATTATGGGGAACCTTTGGCCCTCCAGATGGTGTTGAACTTCAACACCCTTCAGCCTTGACTATTGGCCATGTTGGCTGCGGTTGATGGGAGAGAGAGAGCTCAGAAACATCTGGAGAGTCAAATGTTCCCCACCCCTGCCCTATATCTTATCAGGGATGTGATGAGTTGTAATCCTGTTGACTCAAGTGAGATTGCTCGCTCTTCGGGGTGAATCATGTGTGCTTTTCTGAAGAAAAGAGGCCTTATCTTGATTGTTATTCAGGTGTGTTGCAAGATGGTGGATAAATTTAAGTGAGAACTTAAACCTCACTTTAAGTCCATTGACTTAACTGCAATGGACATTGGTTGTGTTGACTTTATTCCCTTATCAAAATCCCTCCCACAATGGATGGGCACAAAATATATCCACAAATAGAGCCTGTGCCACTGACGCTGTCAAGAGGGAGAATAATCCACTGAGGAATTTTCCTGTTGCACTCCTCGGAGATGCAGGAGACATTTCAGCGGGGCTGAACTCTTCAGCGGATTGTGGCCTGAGTCTTTTTGTGTTTATTTATTTATGTTTGGGTCACTTCTTTGCACCTTAAGACAAGAGAGCAAAATTAATGGAACATTTTAATGGAATGTCATTTTAAAAAATGACATTCAGATTTATTTATTTTTGCAAGCCATCTCCTTTCTTTTCTCCTTGGAACTTCTTCAGCCCTTATTCAGTGCAACTCACTAGCTATTCCTCATGGAGGGAGAGTTGCTTGGCCTTTGACCAAGTCGGCACCACTTCTGATGATGCAGCAGCCATGCATGGCAACCCAAGAGATGCCAAGCAATTCTGCTTGCCCTGGACTGCAGGAAAAGTCAAGCACACGGCAGGCTGCTGTGTTAGCTCTGTGCTAGAGCATCTGCTTGGCATGCAGAAGGTCTCTAGTCCATAGCATCTTCAGGAAGGGCTGGGACCCTTGTGTGAAACCCTGGAGAGCCACTGCTGGTCATTGTGGACGGTCGTGGGCTGGATGAACTAGTGATATGACTCAGCCTATGGCAGTTTCCTATGCTCCTAGGCTATAAGAATAAATAAGTTTGTAAATATTCCTTATGCTGCTATTTTTGAAACTCACCTTTGACTGCTGCCTGTTCATATCAGGACCAATGTTCTTAGGAAGGGAGGGCTTTTGGCTTAATGTAAGTTTTTAAGCAGAAAAAAACTACACATGGTAGAAATAATTTGCAGTTATGAGAGGGATATAAAGCAACTTGTAAAAGCAAAATATATTATAGTAGTTTGAGCATGGCTGCATCTTTGGAGCTGTTTTGAAAAACAGCCATTCTCACAGCTGTTGCTTTGGGTAGGAAGACTGAATGCAGAATCGCAGCACTGCACCAGTCAGTTAATGCCCAGCAAATAACAATCATGCTTCATGCCGCTGTTTTAAATTCTGTGTTTCTAAAGGGTATCCTTGCAGCAGCGTTGCCGCCTTTCTTTGTTTTATGCCTGTGCCTTTAACGCCAATAAGAAATTAAGCAAGTGGTACAGTTCCTGGCATGGCAGCAGTCTGTTTCTGAGGGGTGGGGGGCAGTTGAACAAGATATTCTCAGTGAGCCCCCTTCTCCACCGCCGTTGCACTGTCCATTCAGTTGCAGCTCCCTCTGGACCCAGTGTATACCATATTGGAAGGGGCATGCAGGAGTTCCTGTTCATTCCCTTTGCTCTAGTCAGTGCCAGCAACAAGCAGCAACAGCAAGAATTCAGAGGCTGAGCCTTCCACTGGGACACGGGCACTAGTAAATGCCCAGTGATATCCTATCCTGATGCAATGATAGGAACAGCTTGACTGCTTAATTTCTCTGAACCTGGCCACCTCTGAAGGCTCAGGAGCAACATTAGGAAGGGGGCGGAAAGGTTGCACTATTTGAGAGCTGTGTGCTGCTGCTCGTGTACTCGCATTAACAGTATCTCTCCAACGCTTACAGTAGCTTTCCAAATGTCAGTGGATTTATGTGTGCATGATAATACGTGGAACAAGCCTAGAAACAAATATTCTTTTGAGATACTTGGCTTTTGGTCCAGCACATGCTTTAAGCTTGTGTGCTAACTGTATTCAGAGGGGGTGGCAGTGCTTTTCCTCCCCTCCCCTTTTTCTTCCAGAAAGAGTCCTCGGACCACTTAGGTTGCTCGAGTTACTTAATCTGGATTGGGTCTCTTGATCTCCCAGCGATCTTTTTTTAGTAAGTGAGCTGGTAGGGCTGATTTCATACTCAAACATGCTCTGAGCCCATGCTTATATTTTTAAGCCTACATGCAAACATTTTCAGGATCGGGTTCCCAGCATGTAAATTGCAACCAGCAGTTTTCCAAGAGAATATATGGGAAACAACTAAAAGTAACAGCTAGCTACAGTCTGTATATGTTCAAGTGCAGGGCAGCAGGCAGGGAACTGCTGCAGATCTGTGCTTTACTTTTCAGACAAGGAGACCAAAACTGGCCGACAACATTAATACTTAGCAATCCCATATATTGTATCAGTGACATGACCTATTATTTGTATACAGAGCATTAGTAAAATAGTTTCTTTTAAGCACTGCTAAGAACCCTGTAACACTGACGAGGAGCACTTTTAAAAACAAATTCTGTGTGTGTTTGTGTGTATGTATAACGCTGCAGTCTGTATGTACAGTAGTCAAATGCTTACAAGAGGTTGCTGCCTAGCACTGTGATAGATAAATGAGCTAGAACTCAGTGGTGTTACCTACAGAGCAGCAAGCAGCACTTTTCTGTATATTGACAGCTTTTCAAGGAGCTACACTTAAACCTGGTTTTGTTGACTGTAACTTCTGTGGACCCAGGTACGAGCCAGTTATTCATGTGAACCAAATGTGTACAGTACTCTCATAAAGCAAAGCTATAAAGCTATATATTGCCAAGGTAGAGTCTAATAGATATATATATAATAGATCTATATATTTTTCCCCTGGAAGGAAACATGAGTGTTTTTAAATGCAATATATTTTTAGAGAAACTGTCTGCTGTATCTGTCTTAAACTTAACACAAACCAGCGCACGCCAATCATCCTTTCCTCATAGCATTAGAATGTCTTCCTCCAAAGAAGAATGTTGAGCAGTGGTTTGAATCTGTGAAACCCTTTAGCTTCCTTGGAAGCTTATAAGGGGTTCCTCCATGAAGAGGAAGCAATAGCGGGCAAGCTTCCCAGATAAAGACAGCTTGTTCACCATGACTAATCTTCACTCACACAGCATAGAGCCTCTGAGGAATGCTGGGTATGTTGCTCAGCCCATGAGGGGCAGCAGTGAGGGCCAAAATATCTGGCTAGGAGAGAGCTGTCAGGGCAGGATTTTGAGGTCTTAAACCGCAGGTGCAATTGGCTCACCACGGTGTGAAGTAATGCACTTTGCTTCTAAAGTGGACTTCCATTAAGTCCAGAGTCTGAAATTACCTAACTGCACCACTGCTGGTGACGACTGAATGTGTGGATGCCCTAGAGAATGTTCCAGAATCCTTTTGTAGCCAGGTGGGGGCTCCGTAATAGACGATCGCAAGATGTGCCATATTGAAGGTGGAATGTTTGAAATCCATGGGTTTAGCAGGTTGCCGAAATGTGTGCGTTTCTTCATTGTAGATGCTTTGTAGTTTAGCTTTTGTGTTCATAAGCTTACTGCCAGCGTAATGATGTAGCTTTATGAAATGTGCCATGTTTTATTGAAATGTGCAATATTTCGCCTGGTTCCTTTCATCCATATAGAAAACCTTTAGTAACGCTCTCAACAAATACAGCACTCAGGTAAAGATTTTAGCTGCTCCTTTTTAAACTAAATGTGTTGTCAACCCATGAGCATTGCTTTTAAAAGAGTGATTAAAATGTAGAGTCCCCCTCTCTACCTCCCTATATAAATTATGCTGTTTAACGTGAGCTTCTCTTAGCTATGTAAAAGTGATTTGAGAGCTCCTGCTCTTGCACCCCTATGCTGTTTATTGAAAGGGGAGCTACCCAGTTGCTTTTGCTCATAAACTACCACATGAACAAATGTTTGTTCATGCATAACATTGTTCTTTTATCAGCCAGCTGAAGCATGGGTTGATGAGGCTCGCAGGCAAAAATCTGCAAAATCTATATTCTCAAAAAAGAAGTCAACCCGCAGTGAATTCAGATTGTTTAGGTGCCTTCTAAGGATAATCACTACAACGTCAGATGTGGTCCTTAAATGCTTTTCTTAATTCTTAAAGAATATGTTTTATGGCTTCAGGATGAGTTTATATCATAAACACAGAAACTGGACTAGCGTTTCCCCCCATCCTGCTGTCAGAACAATGTCCTTTGGACATTTGAGCCAGTGTTTTCAAAAGCCCAATGGGCTTTTAAACTTTTGCTTTTATTGTAGTGAAAGATGTAGCGGTGAGAAATGTCTTTTTGTGCATCACTATAAACCACATTCATATATTGAGCATAAAAAATAATAATATAGATCATAGCGTAATATATATTTGCACAACTCTTATGCAGATGTATTTTTACACACACACACATATGTAATCAAATCTTAGGGTTTTTTTATGGGGTTGATTCTGTGCAGAGTTTATTTTATAAATGTGTTGTAATCTTACGCTGCATTGGCACTCCCGGGTGGGTATTATTTCTCTTGCACATTTTTTAGCATTCACACAAAGAGGAGGTTCTTCTCTGAAGGAATTTGCTTTTACATTTTTAAGTGATATGCACGACTCTTATGCAAAACTTGAAAAAACTTCTGTTGTAAGTGTATCTTGTGTGCACCCTGTGTGTCGTGGGAAAGGCTGAATCACAAGTCCGTTTGTCACATAGCCCATTGCAAGTGTGGTAGCTGTGATCTTGTCCTTTGTAGCCCTTTTGGGGGGGTGGGAATATTTCTTTAATGATTAGCTTAACTTTCTGTAAAGATTTCATTACACAAAACCATAAAACATTAGCATTGTCTTGTCATTGACTAAAAGTTAGCATGCAAAAAGAGTAAATGTATTTAGAAATATGGTATGTACACTAGCAGTTCCAAAGAGCATAGGTAAACTTTTCTCCATTTAAACGTAATTTGTGCAACTTTAGAATGCTTGGCCTTTGTTCTAGTTAAACATAGTTCCACAAAACATACCATCTCTAAAAATAAAAGCATATATTTACCAATGCTTTTTCTATGCAATAATCTAGTCACCTTCTGTGTTTCAGTTTTTTTATTTAAAAAAGAGAGAGGACTTGAAAAGGACATGACCCTATTGCAATTAAGCACTTTTAAGACTACAGCTCTGTGCATGTATACTTGGTTCTATTGAACACAGGGAGACATACTCCTAAGTAAACTTGCATACAATTGTACAGCAAGCTCTGTTGTTGAACTTACATTTTAAATTTATTTTCTTGAAGTTGACAAGGGGTTAAGTGTTTCTGTGTTGTGATTCCCTACAGCAAAGGGTTCAGAAAGCTTAATAGCAGCGCAATTAGTCTTAACACTCAAGCAGACACCAGTAGGGTGTTGTAGAAAACTGATTTTTTTTCTCCAGGAAAGGTAAACGAGATCCTTTCTACAATGCAAAATGCATTGTTGCCTTTTTGATAATATGGATTTATAGTCCTATTATATCCTGTGTGTGTGTGTTTGTGTACTGTGGATAGTGCTAATGCTAGACAAAAATAATCTGGCAATCATCCACTGTTGTAGCAATGACTAAAATTACTAATTTTAATATTGAACACTTTTATATTGGACAAATAGTTTTTGTTGTTTTTTACTCCGGCCTCACAGGCTAAGTCTTGCAAGCCTATCCCAAGGTTACAAAAGTGTATTTGACAGACAAAGCTAAGGTTGTGATCCTGTACTCAGTTACCTGGCTGCAGGTAAGCCTCATTGGACTCAAAGGGGCTTCCTTATGGGTACACAGGTATAGGGGTTGCCCTGCGAATTTTTCTGATCCAGTCTCATGCCCACAGCAGCTATAGGTTCTGGTGAAGTAAGTGGGATGTTATTCGGAACATCGATAGGATTGGACCGCAAAGCTTTGTTTCATTTACATAAACACAGTAATTTGGTTCTGGGGTTGAGGACAACATTCTGCTTTTTGAAACCAAACTAGCCTAGTTTAAAGTAGTTATCTCCCTAGTCATCATAGCACTGAAATCCTGTGCAGGTCTACTCAAGAGTGGGTCCTCTGGGGCTTACTCCCAGGTAAGTGTGTACAGGAGCACGTTCAGTCCTGAAGCTACTATTCATTTCAGCAGGATTTGCACAGAAAAGCCTCTGGGTGGGTTATGCCCAAATTACTAGCTCTTGGAGAAGAGTCCTTATTTAGCAACATGTTCCTGTTGTGATAGTATAACTTTTTTTGTTATTTATTTCCACACATCTTGACTTTCTTCAAAGTTATTTCTTAACTGCTGGACGCAAACTGGTATCTGAATTCTGTAATGTTTGTACTTGAGATGTTGTTTGGTTTGTAGTTTTTTTCTGATTAATATTACTGGTATTATTTTGGTTAAAAAAAAATACTTCATGTCATTTGATATTAATGCCTTCTACTCTTTCTGAAGCCAGTGAATACAAATGTAATATATCTTGCCTTATGACAACATTACATATCTTGTCTACCTAAAGCATTAGCCAGTCACTGGTTGTACTATTATGGTGAAAAGTAGAATTTATAAATGTGTCATTACTAATTGTCATTAAACTTGAATGGTGCAAAATGGGAGTGTGATCCTGAGAAAATATCTGTTCTGTATGCGTTCTACGTTCATGGGTAACATCTATATTTAGCCTTTCTCGCTAACGTATCCATTCAAAAACTTTCTAGATGGAAGGCAGAGGTTCTCTTGGCCAGAATTTCTAAAGCAGGCATGGGGAACCTCAGCCCCGGAGGCTGAATGTATATCCCTCTCGCTGAAGACCAGTAGTGTGCTGTGTCTGACAATTGGTTCTAGTCTGATGTCCGTCTAAGGGTGAAACTATATGTTACGCTTAATGCATCGTGTGCAGCTATATCTTCATTTGGTCTTAATTGTATCTGCCAAACTTCAGCACAGGGACAGAGGAGGGCTAACCTTTCCCAATCACAACAGCATCCAGAAAATTGCTCTCCCAGGGCAACTATGAGGGCGAGTTTTTTCTTCTCCTTTAAATATTCCATTTGTGGTCTGTAGGTATGGTGGGCTCTGGAAGCAGAACCAACAGCTGTGACATGCGTATTTCCCACCAAGCCACAATGAACACCCACCACTTTGCAAACCCTCCCTAATTTGCAAATACATCCATGTGCAACTGCACTTTGTCAGTTCATTGCATCACTCTTAACATAGTTAAGATTCCTTAAGCATGATTTGATGTGATGTATGAATTGAGCTGTACTGGTAAGAGTTCCCATAGGTGTAGGCTATGTTTGGGGTGCAGTGGGAGGGCACCATCACTGTTGTTTAGGCTTCCTTTTCTCCAAAGGTGAGATCAGAGCACTTTCCAATGCTCCTCTTTTCCCCAAGTACAATTTTTGCCATTGCGAGCCACGGTTAAGGCAACAATGGCAGAAGCAGAGATTTAACAAGCAACTGCAGCAGCCTATAAAATTCCTGACTCATTCTCTGCAGTAATAAAATGGAGGCCTCCCAAAGTGCTTTGCTGTTAGGATTTCTCTCTCTCTCTCTCTCTCTCTCACACACACACACACACACACGAGAGAGAGAGAGAGAGAGAGAGAGAGAGAGAGAGAGCCCTGCTTCACTAGTTCAGTGCTATATAACCACATTACCACCTGCTTTCTTCCTGATACCCTTTATGCAAATTCCGTGTTCAGAGCTGGCTTTTGGAGTGTATGCCAGACCCTTCCTCACCCCATTGCTTTTAAAACAGAGCATTGTACATGTTTCCGTATTTGTTGGCTTAACATAGGCTATGCTGACATGATACAATGCTGTTTAAAGATTTCTTTTTTCCCAGAGGGGTACTCATGTTAAGTTTTTTTGCAGCAGACAAAAAAAAAGTTGAAATGTTATTATGGCATAAGCTTTCATGGGCTGGAGTCTACTTGAGTCTGAGGAAGAAGACTTGAACCCACATTGGCATATGCCATAATAATAAATGGCATTTAAGGTGCCACTTTGCTTTTCTAATGTGCTTGTTCTGCAAATGCATGTTCAGGTTACCCTCCTGCTCTTACAGTCTTAAATAAATGCTGATTGGCTGTTGAGACCTGCAGTCCAACAACATCTGCAGGCCTGGAGTTTCCCCATTTTTGTCTTACAGCAGCCTTCGCCAACCTGGTGCCCTCAAGATCCTTTGGACTACCACTCCCATCAGCCCTAGCCAGCACATTCTGTCTGGTGGGAGGGCACCGGCTTGGCGAAGGCTGCTGTAGAGCTTCAACACCATCTTTCATAACTTTGTTTACTAAACAGGCAAGTAGATTATATTGGGAGCAAGGGATGCCCACAGTGGAGCAGCAGATCGCCAGAGAGTGGGAGATCCATTTCACCTCACAGAGCTTTAGCTTCTGTCCCCAAAGTTCAATGTGCAAAACCAAAACAAGCCCTGCCTGCTTTTCTCTTGCAGCCTTGCAAAATGCTGGTCTCGGATCCCACGCTTTGCTTATTCATAAGAGCATTGGCTGCCGCTAAAGGAACATTAAGGGCATTTCTGTCAAATCATTGACTCCTGTCAGGCAGCACTTCAGGCAAAGCAGTAATGAAATCGCACAAACCCATAACAGTGTCTTAAAAGCATCTGTTATCCTCGCCTGTTTTTTAATGCCTCATAAAATTATGGCAATATTATTAGCTTGGAGGAGGCCGGGGGGGGGGGAGACCTCCTTCTTCCACCCCCACCTCCTGGGCCTTTTCCTCTCAGGAAGGGATTGTCCTTTTTTATATATGTACCGTGAGACTGGAACCAGAGCAGTCCTCTGGGGCAGAAGATGGAAATTGTAGCCCCTAACGTCTGGATCCTACCACGCTGAGAAGAGACCTGGATACAGATGTGAAGCTCATTGGCTGATTCTGGGTTAGTCACTCACTACCTCTCAGGTTGCCCTATCACAGAGACTGTCCATTTATATAAAAAGCAAGGCGTCATCATTTTGGACAGCTTCAAAAGAGGATTAAACAAATTCACTGACGGAAAGGCAATCAGCAGCAGCTAGCCATGATGCTTGTGTTCTGCCTTCCCTCTCGGAGGCAGCATGCCTCTGAATGCCCCTTGCTGAATCACAGGTGAGAGGAGGGTCCTACTTGGGGGCTTCCCACTGACCTCTGCTTGGCCACTGTGAGAACAGGATGCTGGCCTAGACAGGCCTTGGATGGATCCAGCAGGGCTCTTCTTATGCTAACTTACATCTTGCTTTTCAGTGTTTTTCTCTCTCAGGGCAGCTAACAAAAAAACCAGCTAAATCAGCAAACACAATGCAAGGGGGAGGGAAATCAAATGTATTAAAGCAGTAAAAGGAATAGAAACGTAAGCACAGCTGTTGTTGGGAAAGCGCCAAAGTGCTGCCCCCCCCTCCAAATCGATTGCCAGCCTTGAATGTTGAAGTCAAATACAGTGGTACCTCGGGTTAAGAACTTTTTATTTTATTTTATTTTATTTTTTAAGAATAATTTTTTATTGACCAACCAATCACATCAAACCAAACCAAATTACATAAATTCCAAATTACACAGCCGAATTTTAAATTGCTGTTGGGGGACCCATATTTCAAGTTCCGAAGGGGATCCAATCAACTTCTTGCTTCTTGCTGCTGTTTTAATGTCCACAAATCTAACCATATGATGTTCACAGTACGATCCAGTCCTTTCTTATTGTTTTTCCACATCTCTTGTTGTTATTTTCATATATTTTTCCTTTCTCTTTGTGACCTCTGATAGTACCTCGGGTTAAGAACTTAATTCGTTCTGGAGGTCAGTTCTTAAACCTGAAACTGTTCTTAACCTGAGGTACCACTTTAGCTAATGGGGCCTCCCGTTGCTGCTGCCCAATTTCTGTTCTCATCCTGAAGCAAATTTCTTAACCCGAGGTACTATTTCTGGGTTAGCAGAGTCTGTAACCTGAAGCGTCTGTAACCCAAGGTACCACTGTACTTGGAAATCTTTCATGTTTTTTTCCTCTGAGCATTCAACTTCATCACCCAGAGAGTGCAATGCCAGCCTTCTTCTGCCTGCCACCCTTTTCCCCTTCCCATGGTCTGAAGCACCATAGCACTATGTACATTTTTGGGGGTAAGGGTGACACACCTTCCCTCCCCACATGCCCCCCCCGTGTCATCTTTAAAAGAAGTATCCATGCCTTTTTAGTCCTGGTTTGTAATAGCAAAAGCTCTGTGATTGAGCTCCAATGACTTTAATTATGGTGTCCTTTTACTTAATTGCTTTAACACAATTCTTCTTCCCTCTCAAAGCCTTGGGGGGGGGGGGGGAAGAAGTGAGCTACTAATCTCAGTTCTTATTCAGAGAACTTCAGTGCCCTCCTTCTTTTAGTTAATCATCTCTCACATTTTTAAGTAAAGCAAGAGGAGGGGAGATTACCTCTATTCCCTTGAAGGCAAGTCTCTCAAATAATGGTCTTCAATCAAATGTCATTTGTGAATGAAATGTTTGGGCCAAGGAAGACCCCTACTTTCAAAGCCTGTGCTCTAAGCAGCAGCCAGGACTCCCGGAGCAGGAACTTAAAAAGGCATTGTCTAGCTTGCAGCTCAGTGTAGCTCTTAAATAAAATATGGTCTATTGAAGCACAAGTCACGTAGGCCGGTCATAGTTGGTATGCACTGTGAAACGAAACTGGCAATTTCCCACTTTGACTGAACATTGGTGTCGTCTCAAAAATGGTGCCCAGTGCACCAAAACAGATCTGAAATGGATAGAAAAAAAAGGCGTTTTTTTACAGGGGTTTTTTTTAATGCAAGCAATTCACCATGAATTGCCCTTCACCATAAGGACAACAATCATCCATAGAATTTGCCACATCTGAGTGGTTTTGAGGGCTTCACATAAGCCAATCCTGAGCTGCTCTTTTTAACTTGAGCTTTCCTATAATAGAGGGAAGCACAAAGGAACACCTTGGGAGCCTCCAAATGATGGAAGGTCCATTCTGGATCTCTTGACTCCATTCTTCTGTGGATACTCTCAGTTGGAGCAGCAGTGCTGGGGACAAGGAGAGGTTAATGCTCCAACCCACTATAAATCTGTGCCCTGGAACTACTAAACTTGCTGAAGAAAAGAAATGCAAGGACATCTGTCATGCCCCAGCAGGTTAACAGCAGTTTAGTTTGTGTGAGAAAGAATTAAATGAGTGATTTAACATACCTGTTGTCTTTTTAAAGTACCGGTAGCTTTCAACAGTATTGCATCACATGTGTATTTATTGCATATATACTCCACATTTTTCTCCAAGGAGCTCAAGGTGGAATACCTGGTTCTCTCCCTTGTTTAATTCCCAGAAGAACCCTGTGAGGCTGGTTAGGCTAAGAGGCTGCGACTGGACCAAGGTCACCTAGCAAGCTTCCTAGCTGAGTAGGGATTTGAGCCCTGGTCTCCAACGTTTTAGTCCTGCATTCTAACCACTACACTACACTGGCTTCCTTCCTGCAGCAAACTTTGGTGGTGAATGTGTCTTCCCCCCCCCCCCAGGATTGCATGGCACAAAGCCAATGTTGATCGTAATCAGCCTCCCCACCTCACCCCAGGTTGCCCTTGAGTGGGGAAAGGGGTGAGAG